TTGGGTATATTCAAATGCATGTATAATTTAGACATAGGGGGTACTACAAAAGAGAAATTGTCAGTCTGTCCAGCAGTCTGTGATCTGTTACTTGTGTCCTTGGCTGAGTCAGTGGAATCACTCACTGCTCAGCCTTGTCTTTTACCTCCTTGGCCTTTGCTTCTTGGCCAAGGCCTTCCTCTTCCTTCATTAATTTGGCAATCTGTGCTCTAATGTCCTCCCTCATATGCTTGTTCTTCTTCTGGAGACAGTTTCATGCCATGTGACTCTTCTGGCCACAATTAAAGTATTTTCTCTCTTTTTTGAGATGGTCCACATCCATTGGCTGACCTGTTTCAGTATATATCATGCTTGTACTAGTTTACTTCTCACTGAAGGAGGAAGTTGGGGTCAAGCCTATGGGCCTGGTGGATGTGGTCATAGTAGAGGCAGAAGGCTTGGTGTCTTGTCTCTGGTTTCTGTGCACCCCCTATGATAAGGTTGCCGATTCCACCTTCTGTCATTGTCATTTCTTGTACATAGTAATAATTTGAGCCTTCTATTCTTTGTATCTGATGGGTATTCCTTGCCCAATGTCAGAGATAATGATAAAATAGGAGGCCAGTACTCCTATCTTTATATACTCAACCATCTGTTCAGAGTCAGCAACATCATCTCATACTCTGGCAAGTTTACCAAGTCATTCCAATTTGTTGAAGTAGTCAGCAGCTGACTTCTCAGCCATCTTAAAGTCCTCCATCTTTTGCTTGTGAACTTCTTGGATGGCCAGATCTATAAATTTGTCAATGATCATTTGTTTGAAGACCAGCTATGAGAGGTATTAGTGATGGGTCCTTGTAGTAGACCAGAGTGTTGGGGAAATCAGGACCCACCACATCTTGGCTTTATCGGCCATGTGAGTTGCCACAAATATCACTTTATATATGTTAGCAAGAAAGTATAGAGTGAATACTTGAAAGTATTGGTCACAATCGACCAGAAATTGATCAATATCATCAGAGGCCCCTTTAAAGAGCTGTGACTCCAATATGAGGATGGGTTTGACATTAAGAATTTAGACCCCTGCATCAAGAGCAGGCATTGGATTCAGCCATCCTCTGGCAGGCAGTCCTGATCATCCACTTGGAGGCTCCAAAAAGGAGTGGAGGAAGCTGTCATCAGTGACAGGACTCTCTGGCAGAGAAACTGTTTTCTGCACAATTTGCCCATTCTTGACGGTTCAGCCCTGGGCAAGTGCTACAGGATCATTCTCCATAGAAAGTGATTCTGTGGGTTTTCCACTGCCTTCAGCTTTGTCTAGAGGCAGCTGAATCAGCATCCACCATAGGTTTGGATAATGGCTGCTTGGTTGGAGTCAGCCCCTAGAGAGCTGGGATGCTATGCTTCAGATAGCCAAGGTGGCAAATGAGTATCTTAATGACATTGTTCAGATAGACAGTGCCATATTAGCTGGTTTGCTCAGCACAACACTTGACATCCAAGGCCTTGGCATCATACTGTACTTAGACCTGTATGGTGGTAATGCTTGCATCTGGTGTCTTAAATATCTTTTATTGTAAATAAAAATGGCCTGTTCAGTGGCCACATATTGTAAAATTTCCATGCACTCAATGTAATCAGTGGCAGTATACCTTTGTCCCATGGGTGACATCAACCAGATGTCATCCATTCATAATGTCATTGTACCTTCTTGGTACAACTCCATAAAATCCTTCTGGCATGCCTCTTGTGTCAATTCCTTCTGCTTCTCTTCATGCATTTGTATGTTTCACAAGCTGGCCCAGTCAGTGGAAGGATCCTCAACTTCCCTGTTGTGATTCTCCATCTCATCATCCACATCCTCACTGGTGGTCTCACTGCCCACATCTCCCTTGAGAAAAGAACTGTCACATGGGTCATAGACCTTCAGGACAGTCATGCTGGAGCTGCATACTAGGTCTGGGCTGAGAAGTAGGCTGCTGCTCAGGCTGCTCTGGTGGCTCCTTGATGCTCATTGCTGCTGACACCATTGCTCTGCAATACTGATGGAAGTTTTTGTAAAACTTCAGATTGAGGAAAAGAGCTGCAAAGTTTCTGTCAAAGAACTTCTTGAGGTCTCTGATAGAGTTGATGCCCTCATCATCTTCCCTGATGATACCTCTACTCTCCAGGATTTCTCCTTGGACCAGAATGTCATCTGTCTCTATAATAGTATCAGTTCTGTAAGATAACAGATGGTTATCATCGAGATGATGGGGTGTTCTTTCAGCTCTGTCAGAGTCTGCCCAAGGGTCAGACTCAATGATGGGAGTGGTCAGTTCTCTAAATAGGGAGTCAGAGATGGTAATTCTGATGATCATGGTAGTCCAACTTTCTCTCTCATTTTTTCAATGCTCCTCTGCTTCTCATGCCTGGAGATACCACCCAAAGAGGGTGTTCTCCCTTGTGATCTCATTGTCGATACATGCCTGGTCCTGCTTGTACTCAGAAAGGTCTCAGGCATGTTGAATTTGGTCCTCTCTGGAGAGGATCAGATTGGCATATGGGATTGATTGTGTTCCTGTTAGAACCATTCATATACTCTCTGCTTGGCTAATATTATTGCCAACTGGATGGTGCTCCAACTGGTCAGCTTCAATGGTAGCAGCTTGCCATCAGTGATGCTCATTGGTGTCATCATCTCAATACAGATTATCATCAGCCCTTATTCTGCAGTCAGTCCTTCTGTTGTTTGCTGATATAGTGGATTGAGACCTATGGCCCCTGGAATTTCTGGTCTCTTGAGCCATCCATGGGGCATCCAAGGAGTCTCTAGCATGGTGCTCAATGCTGAGGCTAGAGACAGAGGTTGTTGTCCTTGTAGCTAGGATACTATGCTGAGAGGATGAGATGGAGGTGTCAGGTCTGGGTCATCAAAACCCTGTAGCCCAAGGGTTTCCAGTGTCTTGAACAACTGCAGTCAAGAGTCACAGAGGGTATGTATGCTGCTGATACTGCTCCTCTTCTTCCCTAGAATGTTTCTCAGTTGAGCTCCCAGAGACATTTTCAGAGTTTGTTCCTTCTAGAGGTCAGAAAGACTGTTAGGCAGAGGCAGGGATGTCATGGAGAGGGAGGTCTGATGTGATATTGTGGAGAATAGTTTGAATATGTTGGAATTTGTGATAGTGTCTGATTGTCCAAGCTACGATTGATTGGCATCCATAGCACAGCTGTATGATCACTAATAGACCAATCAAGATTCCTATAATAGAAGCCAAGAGTTTAAAGAACTTGTGAGTAAAGTTTGGATTGGATAGATCAAGAGCAGAGGGCATTTAGTTTCTCAGCACAATTGAGCTTGAGAAAGGGAAGCTAGAAGCTTCAAGCTAATTGTTAAGCCCAAATTTCACATGACTATCAACATGTGATAAACAGTCAGAACCTTGCACTTCAGGTTGACCAACTGAGTTCACTGATGTGTTAATAGAGTTGTGTAGTCAAGGCATTTGCAAGTCACTCAAGAGTAGATAGTGAAGAATAAACTTTAGCTTGAAGCTGGGGTACTACAGCGAGAGTTAACCTACTTAAATACTGTTCTGGTATCTGGCTATAAATAAATGTTCACAAAAGCTGTTGTCTTGCTGTTATGCTGTTACTGCTGCACTGCCATTGGGGACAAAAGGAGCATTGTCTCTCCCTTCACAGCATACAGCAGTGTGATAAGACCAGACCAACTGGGTTGCTGACTAAGCCTTCCCATGGTCCTAAGTGCTAGTCTAAGTGCCCTGACTAAGCAAAGATAGGGGTCATTTCTGAGGAAAAAGAAAAGAAAATAGAAGAAAATCAGGAAAAATCATAACAGGAAAACCATGCAGTATATCCCATATCTCCAGATCCTTGGCTCTGTAGCATACCTGGCCATCACCACTCATCCTGATATAGCTTTTGCAGTCAGTGTCCTATCATGTTTCAGCAAAAACCCTGGATTAAGACATTGGGAGGCCCTGAAACACCTCCTCAGATACATAAAGGGAACAATCAACCTAAAATTGACATATTCACCTGATGCTACAAACTCAGACCTGTTCAAAATGTACACAGATGCAGATCATGAAGGAAACCCAGACAATGGGCACTCGATCTCAGGATATGTTGTCAAGATGGACACAGGTGCAGTCAGCTGGATGAGCCAGCTACAATCTATAGTAACCTTATCGATCACAGAGGCTGAATATGTGGCTGCTGTCTCTGCTGGACAGGAAATTCTGTGGCTGTGAAATCTGTTCACAGAATTTGGCTTTCATCATCTGTCGCCATCTCCACTGCTGATTGACAACCAGTCTGCTCTCTCTGTCGCTCGCAATCCTGATCATCACAGTCGTGTCAAACATCTCAACCTCCACTTCTACTAGTTACGAGACGAGGTTGAGTGGGGGCACATACATATTGAACATCTTCGCACAGAAGACATGCCTGCTGACATCTTCACAAAAGCCTTAGGGAAGGAGAAGATGACTCACATGATCAGGCTGTTAGGTCTTGAACTCTGAGAAGTATTGTGTCGAGGGGGAGTGTTGCGGGACAACACAAGTACCTGATGTCAACCTTATATAAGCATAGACAGTTTTGTCCTGAGTCAACGGTCAATTGCCTTTAAGCAATTGACCGTCGTACTCAGTCTGGCCTATTATCCACTGCAAGAAAGTAACCTGCCTGCAACAATTATACCGTATCTGGGCCCTTTGAGAGAGAGATATCATTATTGATATACCCCGCCTTCCGCTTCATGCCGAACATAGGCATTGACTTGTTCCTCAACAAGGCTGCATACTACACACTGTGCCTTCTTCTGCCAATACAAGTTCGTTGAGAATGCAGAGTATCTCGTTGTGGCACCCGAAGAGTTCTAGGCGACCCCAAAGAGAGCAACGACCGCGACTACATATCAGACTGTATGTTATATGCATATCTGGGTCTGAAACACAAGTGTGAATTTTGATTGCCTCGAAAGATGCATAGGAGCTTGACCCATAATAAGCAAATCAACTCCCTTCCTTGATCAAATCTGCCGCCCTTTCTGCAACAACATACACCGCTACCTGGGTATGTCCAGCCGGTACATACGGCTAAAACCCCCAAATCATCATCCCACTGTCAGAGACAAAACCAAGGGGAGACCTACCAAAACCGACGCGTCCACAACTCTCGCCCCTCTCGCCTGCTTCAGCCTCAAATCCGGGTCAACGACACCCCAACGCGCCTTGGGCGGGGACATACTCGCCGTACCCACCGAATGACCCCCCGGGCTAGCCCCGTTCCGAATGCTCCCTTCCAGATCCCCGATATCCGTGACGAGCTCGAGGATGTAATCCGCCCACACGGGGGCACCGACAAACCTCTGCGCGCCTCCCACAGCCTGTTCCATCAACACCAGATCCTGCTCATGCGAGAGAGTATTAGGGTTGATGACAGGCGGGGCGAGGGGATCGGTGCTGTTAATGGTGACGTTCCCATCTTTCCATACACCCGCGAGTCAGCAAACGAAAAGGATAAGATACATTGCATACAAGATACTGGGCACAGAATATTGATTAACATGGTGAAAAAGCTCCCAGTTGGGGGGACGGTGTCAACTGGTATCCCGCCCTAATAATTATCTCCATCAATAATGATCATCAGGTGAAACGCTAAGACCCACAGTGAACATCAGCTCATAATGGCCTGTCCGATTGCCCGCGCACGGCTCCTCCTCGAGTAAGCCTTCTCCTACCCGGAAAGATCCCAACTGATTTGACGCACTATTAGTGAGAAAACCCGTCCGATTCGCCTGCCACTCCATCAAGGCTTCTTCTTGGAACGTCGCGTTCCTCCAGTACACATTCTCAATAGTGTTCGTGTCATTAACAGTCCAAGAAAGACTCCAGGTCAGTTGGTCCCTGAAGTTCTTCCCAACATCGGGAAGATGCACCGTCGGAGTGATGCCTAGTGCAGACAGCTCATCCGCATCCCCTATGCCCGAGTTGAGCAGAATATGGGGAGTTTCGATGACACCAGCAGAGAGGATGATCTCCTTCCGAGCTGAAAGAGTATGCATTGTTTCTGGGACTTGTATCAGCTGAGTCTAACACTGGAAATAGAGAACAAACATACTTCCGGCATCCTGTGTGAATTCCACAGCATCAAAATATGGTTTGTCGTCATCAGTCGAGCCGTTTGTCATTAAAATCCGGGTCACATGCGAATCCACAAGCACATGGAGATTCTCTCTTTCGATGTACTCGGGAGCGAGATACGACGTCTCCGAGCTACTTCTTGTCCCATTCCCGATAGTCTTCTGATGCCAGCCTTTCATGCGGGTCAGTTTGAGCACAGCATACCACTCTTCACTCACCGATACCCAAATGATACCCAGAATTATAGTCCAGATTGAACGGAAACTCTTCCGGGAGCTCCTCAGTGACTTGGATGACGCGCCCATCAATGGCACTCGGGTATTCAGCCACCGACACCGAATTGAGTCCGTGAAAGCCGTGTACGGCGGGGTTGTATTGCCCGGTGGTATTGTGACCATCTGCGGAAGCGACGAAGCGCTCGTTCTAGTACCCACAAAGTCAGAGAACCTCTTAGGCCACGACATATACTACCTTTCGAAAGTAGGGCTGCATTTTATCCCATCCCCATCCATCGTCCCCACTGATATTCGCATATCGATCATAGTCCTCGGACGAACCGCGTGTGTATGTCAGGCCATCTGCAAAAAAAGGCACTCGCTCAGTAACAAGAGAACACGGTCAAATTCAACTTACTAATAGCACTACACCCACCCAATCCGAATCCCCTTATATAGGCAAAGTTCCGGTTGTTCAAGCCAGGCTGAGGAGTAGTGGTGAAGTTCCAGTTCTGCAGAGGTGGATGTGTCAAGCAGAAGAAGGGTATCTGCAAAGTCAAGACATCCGCTGTTCTGAGAGGTGTTGAAGGAATGTGTTGAAAAGAGAAAGAATAACATACGATCTCCCCGCTTCGAGAACGAGAACGGACGTATCGGGCTGTTCGGTCAAACGGTTGGCGAGGACGTTCCCTGCCGTACCGCCTTATGAGGAGCATTAGTTGCGGCGAGGAGGAAGGATGTCGAGACTGTATGTACCTCCAATGATAATATAGTCAAAATATTGAGCTGGAAGGTCTGCGACTCTTTCGTATATCGCAGCGGAGCATAGCGGCAGAAGGAGTAAGAGGAATGAGAACATGAAGGGAATGACCGAGCGTGGCGCATGTGGATTATAAGAACGACAGCGTGGCTTGAAGACGCTGGTGTTCCTACGAACGGAGACCCGCAGAGCTGGATTGCCCGAGGTGATACATTAATGGAATCCGTAGAAAGATCGGCTCGGACGACATGTGGATCTGACAGCATCAAGGCATGGTTGTCTGGCCCCACTGTAGATGAGGCAAAAATAATTTCTGCATCAAAGTACAATGAACGTCAAGAAAAGGTGGATGAAAAAAATTGCGGCGGTGGATCTTGCCGCCATCTCACTCTCGATCCCTAGGTGCAACGCCCAAAGGAAAGTCTGATGGACAGGTTACAGTCTTCATATTACCGCAGCTCCTGCAAGAAGTTCTTCTGCAGCATACGTCTCTACTTGATTTCTACGCACACCTACAGGCATCTAGATCTGAACTGACTGCCCAATCACTAATGAGAGCACTCACTTTCAGACTCATAACTATTTCATCTTGTTCATTATAATGCAGTTGCTCCCGTCCCGTCCTCATCGGCCGTTCCTTCCATACATCTATTTTATTAGCGTGCTGTTAACATGATGTTTGCGGATATAAATTTGAAAAGCCCCACATTCTTCACATATCTCGTTCAGCCAACGCCGACGCCTTTGTTCGGCGGTATTCTACCCTGACTGTCGTGTCCGCTTTTCAACTTAGGGCTGCGCGCCTTCCGTATCCGTACCGTATACTGGATAGTGATGGATGCTGACGGAGTCGATCCGTATAATTACGGCCGTATATTCATTATGGTAAGCTCATCCTGTAATACATGGTAGTATGACGCCTTAAAGTAATAGACTAATGTACTAACCTGTTTGACGAGTATAGAGTGGATCTAGATGAAAAAGTCGGCCATTTTGTGGTGCTCTACTAGGCTCGAAGGGTTGAATCATGACATCATAGTGCCCTACAATGAAGATTTAAAGTCAGAAGAGCGCCGGACATGGAAACTGAAAGAACATGAAGGTAAGCTGTTTAAATTCACTTCAGAATGTGTATACACCACTCGAAATCTTTTGTCAAACCCCTTCAGCACTGCCACATAATTTATACGGTCGTGTTGTACGTACGGTATTGCTAGAAGGCCTCATGGCTTCGGCACGTATACCGTACACGGAATCCGTAGAACCGTACAATACCGTTACGGCGCGCAGCCCTATTTCGACTGGGCGCTCTTCATGTATAGTACGTGATCTTGAGCTCGAGCTTGGGGAACAGATCTGCCTCAGTTGCATTGTCTTCATTGTACATCCACTAGCGCCTTACCAACGCAATGTATGTGTCGACGATGAGAGCATAGATTCAACATTCCTCCTACATCTTCTTGAGCCAACATGGATGTATCTGGATAGCGAACGATTCACCAGCATCTGATATTCCTCTGTGGACACTGCCTACCTACCTACCTACCGACCTACCGACCTATGGTTCGGCGGTATTCTACCTGGATTATCCTGATCGTTTTTCCGGTACTGACCCGGAACAGGAGGCCTGTGTTCGCTATGAGTAGGAGGGCTCAACGTCGTGGTAAAATCAAGCTTGAAGAATATAAGCAAATACGTCACCCTTTACGTCACGTCGGATATGGTGTAACGGCTAACATTGCCGCCTCTCAGGTTGTTTGCGCGGCAGCTCGGGGTTCGATTCCCCGTATCCGAAATTTCTGGACCTCCTTGACTTTTGCTGCACGGAGGTCCGAGGCGGCGTCGTCGGGCGAGGCGATTGCCGTATTTTTTCTTTTCTTTTCTGGTGACCCGTCCTTACCGCACAACCTCATCGGCACTCTATGTCTCATACCCAGCGCCTGCCCGAATTAGTGATACATACCTACAAAATTGGCTAAGAATACAATTAATACAGTCCTCTAACGATACATTATATCTAATTGTCCTCTCCCGCAACCCACTCGACCCCATCGCGACTCAACAGACCCCTCCACGCATCATCCAGCCCGCCCGTATCATGCAGCTCCATATACGTCTCTATCATATCTCTCCCACTGCGCCGACAAAGTATCCCCAGTGCAACAGCAAACACATTCACCCGAGACCCAACGACCAGCACCCTCCGAAACGCCGAGCCCTTCGTCACTAACTCTAGGAACGCCGACCGAGACGAAGTCGGCACTCCACAGTCATTCTCTTCTTCCTCGTCGACGCGAATGACGTCCCCGTCCCATCCTTCCACCTCCGAAGTCGACACGCAGACTCCTGTATCCTCGCCGAGCGCTTGTATGCGCACATGCTGGGGTTCTTTGGGCGAAGGTGAAGGGTCGGTCCTGGCGCTCGCTTTATCGTCGTCGTCGCTTTCGCTCTCACTGTACACGACCCTCCTCCTGACCACCCTCCGTCGCGGCAGATTGCTGACATGCGGTTCAAGATAGCCTTTTGGTGGCTGGATGACGAGGTCAACGTTCAGCTTGTAGTGATGAGGACTAAGCTCGGGGCTAGCGAGCGTGGCTGAAGAAGCCGAGGATAGAATCATCGAGTTTGGTAGGCTGTACGCGAGTATGGCGGGTTCGTCTAGTGTCCACCACTGTAATTCAGTGCCAATGAAAGATAGTGAGAGATGAACAGCACGCACCAGGAAATGAGTCGGTAAGGGGTGACACGCCTGCACGAGTGCTCGTTTTGGGTCGCGTAGGTCGCAGAGCGGGAGAGAGCAATGAGTCAGACAAACTTCCAGTCGGAAATGGAAGAGTCAAGCAGTCCTCTTGAGACGGCGAAAAGCAATATTTAGAATGAACCTATACAAATATATCGTGGGTTAGAAAGCCAGTGGAAGACGACAAAGAAAGCACGCAACGAGCTAAAATCTATGTTGGTCTGTCTAGTCTGTATTGGACCAACTGTGAGCGCAAAGGCAACGAAGGAAATGCACGGAGTTCGTCCGGTATCAGGGTAAGGAGCGCACGTTGAAAATGTGGAGTCTTCATGGAATGAAGTCATAGTTACACGGAGGGACTGTCCAAAGCGGGAGCCATGCGTTGACGGGTCCCCGATTCCACCCCCTTTAATTGAATTTTGAATCTTGATCCTGACAGGTTTGGGCACCCATCCAGAACATCGATAATACCTATTGTCGAACCCCAATATTAGGGTTCAGATATGGTGTAATGGTTAACATTACCGCCTCTCATCGTATATTTGGATCGTGTCGCGGCAGCTTGGGGTTTGATTCCCTGTATCCGAATGTTCATGCACTTTATATATTTTGGTTTCTTTTCCCCTCAGCCCTCCATTGGCCATTGACTCAGGAGTTAGAGCATATACACATAGATTGTAGAGTCTAGAACCAATGACGTCTTTAACTATCGTTATGATCTAAGAATTCTACCTACTTTCCTGTCTAGCAGTATTATTTGACAAAGTTCAAACCAATTTTATAACCTGAATGTTCTACTGAACCATCCGTCACCAAAGATGTTCATGTGATCAACCCTCCTCCGATTCTAAATCCCAACGAGATTGGATTCTGTGCGAGGCAGCAAATAAATAGATAGTCAGCTTGCGGCCCAACAAATCATTGCCTCTGGCTTTATTTATCGAGTTGGATTGCCCGGTTCCTTCCTCCCCACTCATACCCGAAACATGGACTAACTCCATAAAAACAGACCGCTATCTCTCTTTCAGTTTCCGGCGGATACATGGGATCCGAACCTAAGATGTTAAACGCTGCAGAACTGAGCTCATGAATTTGACAATGATGCTTCATTCATGATTCTATCACCAAAAATTGCATTCATGACCGTTGTCCGAATCATGGCTCCGACTACCTTTTTACAAAAACAAGCCACTCCTTACCGATATATTCCAGTACGTCGGATTGAATCCCGAAGCCATGCACTATGTCCGACACAGGGAAATGGCACCAAGCAAGAATGATTTTATTTGAGTTTTTCATTCTACACGACTTTAAACACAAGCAAAGTGATATCAGACTTTGCTATCTCCGGCACTCTCTACATTATAAGAAAACCAGTGAAAAGACTGCTCCCGTCCAAGATTAACGGTAATATCTGGAAAAGAGCATCCAAATTTGTGGTAGACATCGATGGTCCTTCGACTGGAACGTAAGGGAAACAACCGAAGCCACCATGCCACACCAAGCTTCCCGTCTTTTCAGGCTGCATACAGTGAGAACCAGCAAGGAATGAACACAAAACGTCAACTCACTCTCCACGAGCTGTGCGCACATCTCTTTCACTTGGTTCACCACCCCACGAAAACAAGCGGCGTCAGTAGCATCTAAAATATCAAACCCCCAGCGATCCTGGGGCACCACATCGGTCGTAATATTGGGATCAGCGGCAATTGCAGGAGAGCAGAGAGAGTTCGTCGCTTTGTCATAGCTGTAGAATGATAGACGCGTTCCGAAAGCGCTTATGCCAGTCAGAGTCGGCGTGACGACGCGGAGGCGAAGGTCGCGGAACCGCTCCTGCATCTCTCTGTCAGTATCTTGGTGTTTGCGAAACGATGCTGGACCCTGGATGTTGATGAACATGACCGGATGGTTGTTCAGTTCGACAGTAAACACAGCGGCGTTGTCCTTGGGGAATTGCAGGATGATCTCAAAGGGTCCATCGATGGAAAAAAGGTGGCAAAGCAGACACATGTAGGGACCATTGAAGGCGCGCTCGTCGTTGGAACTGTTACGAACGGCAGAGAGAAAAGAGTTCATTAAGGATTGCGGCCAGGGTGCGTCTGGCATGGATGATGGCTGTTCTTGATGAAGGAACAAATGTATAACCAAAGTCGTCGGCTATGACGGCCCGGTGCAACAAGTTGGAATTATCGCTTGCTTTCCATCACCGCTGAGCAACGACAATCGACTCGATACCAGGAACGTAGTCTTCTAACTAAACGCAGCCATAGACAGGTCTTTCCTGTGCTGTGTCACCTCTTTTATTTCTCAGTCTTATCAAAGTCTCCAAGTCCTTAGTCGACTACGTTCAGATGTCTGCGTCCTTACTATTAGAATGCGTTGCTGTCCAGCTCGTGCTTGCCAGTGGTTCCTCCTTCGAATCGGTCCCCGCTTCTTCGCTCAATCCCAACACCAGTTTCACTCCATAAACGACAGACGTCTGGGTAAACGCGTTGTAGTTCACGAGCCTTATGCTCAGTGTAACGACAGCGTTGGTTGCCGTGCTCGTGAACTGCTGGAATAACCATCAAGGGGCATATTTATTTAATACCTGCATCAGCTCGAGAACCTCTATGTTGTTTGTTCCATCTTAATCTCGAATGACTGGGCCAGGTCAATTCCGTGGGTAACGATATCCTCGCTCTCCGACCAGATGATCCTGCGTGGGCGACCTGTAGAGACCGACTGCGCAAGCTGGAAACCCATGTGGTCCAGAGGCCAAAGTGAGAGTCCGAGTTGGACGATGAAGAAGGTCAATAGGGAGAAGAAGAATATTTCACAGGCAGCTGCATTCAATGGAGGCATGGGCTAGGGGAGGGAAGGTGAATCTGAGAGTTTTATGTATACATCTTGTGTTTTTTTCTGATTGTTGTGATTCATTTCAAACCGACGTTATCTACGAGGAGTGGAGCATCGTGGCCATCGTTATACGTATGACACTTCGTCGGATACGGTGCAGTGGTTAACATTGCTGCATGGCTTGAGAGTTCGATCTCACGTATCCGCTGAAACATCGCGCCACAAAGGTTTGCCCATTTTTTCCGCTTGACTTGTGTATCTGTCAACAATATGAGTGGGTGCCCACTGCCGCTACAGCATAGAACTTTCTCTTAGCATGTTAGTATCAAAGCCATGGTCGCTGTTTATACAAATTCAACAACTCACCATAAGTGAGAGCGGGATCGTGGACGAGGAAATGCAAGCCATTTCGACAGGTTCTCCAGGTCCGATTGCCGCACACCATGGTGACCGACAATATTCTTTTTTTTTGACGTGTATACTGTACAATATCCATGCGATTGCCCAGTCTGGGGCACATGACGCGTAACTAACACTCAATAGTAAACGTCCCGAAGCAGCGATGGAAGACACACAAACCTTTATGGCGAACTCGAGCACGCCTTTCGGCTCCATGATATCCTTCTTAATTTTGGGATTATTAATCTTGAATCGCCTATACTTCTCTTTCTCGGGATGGGCGATGATATTGTTGGCTAGTTCGTGGAGAGTCTTCGGACAACTATCAGTATGATGCTAACGATAGATATCCCCGATCATCATCACCTTCGGACTTTCGGCGCCTTCCTTCGAAGCCTCGTGATCATTGACCATCCCAAGGATACCAACATCTATCATCCGGCGGAGCTCAGTGCGCATCTTGTACCCTTTATCAAAGTCGGTTCGTCTCCAGGACTGGGAGAGGAAGGTTGGACCTGCGTTCAGAGCGCCGCTGAGCAGCTTGGAGAACGGCATCGCGAAGTTGCAAGTTCACTTTGGACATTGTATCGTATCGTTGAAGACTATCGATGGACACCGTGGGGAAATCGTGATTCTTTCAAGTATCACAAGACTCGAAACATATCTAGCTGATAGGCCCTGGCGAAGGGGAAAAAGGTAAATGGCCGTTTAGCGTAATGACGGCCCATCTTAGATGTGATAGAGTGCTGCGCTGAAGAGGGATAAAATTAATTCAGAATAAACATAATATAAATTTCTTTAACTATTAAGAAGATCAGTGGCAATATAAGCAAGCATAGCATAAGCACGTGAAACGAACCAAAATACAAACGGCTCAAAATTCCAATCTTACTCCCCGTTCGAATAACGTACACCGTCAATAACCACACGTTTCAGCGAAGGCCACTGCTCCTTCATCTGCTCCACGCAACCCAACCGACGCGGCTCCTTCCAACTGGCCCTATCCATAACAAACTCTTCCACCCCAGGGAAGAACACCACAATCTGATCAAGACGAATCGACCAATCATACCGCGGATACCCACCACACACCAACTTCCTCACATGCGGCAAGACAATCGGGTCCTCTCCCGATTCCAGAGACAGGTACTCCCAATCATTGTAAGCCAGGTCCTCCAAGGGCAGCGTCATACGCAATACGCTAGGGATCTGCGACACCCAAGAGAATACCCGGCGCAGATCCCGCCCGATGCTCGGGCCCCGATAGTACGGCAGCCGGACGTCCACGCGCTGTAAGCCTGTGAACGCGTGAGGTGCCGAAAGGAGGAGCGCAAGGACGTCTGTGTCTGCAGCGACAGACGTCAGACGAGGGAGAGCCCCGGGACGAAGCTGCATGACTGTATGACACTTGGGGTGGCCCTCGTCCGGCATTCCATGACATAAGATGGTGTTCGGAGCGAATATCAGCTCCTCAAGACGAGAATGTGCTTCCTGGCCGAGGAATAGGGATAAATGATGCGTCGAGATCTTCCCGCCGTTGAATAAGGCATCACGGAGTTTGGGAAGATGCAGTCGAAGGAGGATTGACCCATCTGGGTATGCGATTACGAGCTTGTTGACGGGTGACACGTTGGCTGAGCGGATAAGCCAATCGGAGTAGGATTCAGAGAGAGGCTTGAGGTACTCCTCAGTTAGGGTAGTGAGTGCAGGAGGAGAGAAGATAGGCAGACAGTCCTCTCCCTTGAAATCCAGCCATGGTTCGCTCTCTGTGCATGTATGGAGGGCCGTAACGCAGTTCAATTCAGCGATGCGAGTGAAAAAGGCGTTGAGCCTCTCTGCGTCGTATTCGTCGGCGTCACGGACATTTGAACGCGTCCAAACCGTATGGTGTAGATCAATCTGGACATCGGGAGGTGCGTTGTCCCCTGGAAGGGTGTCGAAATAGCGCAGGAACTCCCGGAAGTCTCTGGCGAAGTCTTTGCTCAAAGACAGTTTTATGTTGGGAATGGTGGGTTTCGTGACAAGACAGAGTCGGAGGTCTTTGAAAGATGAGAACGGTAGGGCATGGCCGACGTGGGAGGAACTGAAGGCGCCGTATGTCTTTTGGTACTGCTTCGGAGGCCCGAACCAGACAGCGGTTGTTATATCATTGAGCCTGCGGCAGACGAGAGCGGCAGAAAACAAGTCCTTTTTCCCAAGGTAGCTCACGATGATTGCGAGCAGTTCAGTGGGGATCCGTGCCAGTGAACATGAGGCCAGCTCGAGTTGGTGTTCGCTATGCGCTACAGCTTTGACTGGCATTGCCTGGGTGATCATTGAGTAAGAGGAAGCGAAAGATTCAACGACACCTACTAATTGACTATCCTGCTGCAGCTGCAGCGTGGACAAGCATGAACGACAGGGAAAGAGGAGCTCTCGTGAGTGACTGAGACATTATTATCAGAGAGATCGGGTGGCCGGCACGTGCATATTTGTTTCGAGGATTCAGGGTCCCTAACTGTCACTCCGATTCGGAATATTGCTCTCCTTCTTTCGTTCAGTACCGAGAAATAAGGTGCTGCAGACTTGAGGTAAAAGAAAGCAGAATCCGAATGTTCAAACGACACCACAACTGTCTCTCTCGGAGTCGGGTTCGGCAGTTACCTTTGAGAAAAATCAGTATGACCCTTGGGGATTTAACCTACTTTTGTCCAATAAAAATCAAGATCTAGATGTAGAGAAGATAACTACTGACCTCATCAGAGCTCATTCGAACTTGACGTCGTGGAGAGTACCTCCTATGGACTCTCGATTACAAATATCATTGTCCCTCCGTCCGAGTCGGAGAGGATATATGTTGGTGGGGGCATGCCGGACTTGCCGGCGCAGTAGCTGCTGACAGGTTATGTCAAGGGTTATGCGCTACCTGAAAGGGTCAAGTTAGATCCAGGCTACTTATATAAGGATATACATATATTCATTACTTGAACTTCGAAATGCGACGAGTCTAAATTCAAAAGTGGAATATCACCACGTGTAAATCAAGCTTGCAGCAGGGGTTAATCACTCCCGTCGCGCCTTGAGGTCCGACGAAACCACATTGGTCATTCGAATACCTTCAACTTTTGCACTGCGTCTCCAAGGCTTCCTCTGGAACAACGGTCAGAGTAGAAAAAACTCCTTCTTTCCTGGCAGCAGTACGAGGTACCGTCCTGGCCACGATGTTTCTATCAACCACTGCAGATCGCGATATTGACAGAAGAATTTGAGTATTGGGGTATCCCGAAAGAGACGGACAGTCAGCAAAAGCGGTTTTCTCCTACTCGCCATCTCGAATGAAATATGAAGTTATATTGCATCCTCCTAAATGACAAGATAGTTGGCACTTCACCAACACCTATGACCAGAACGAATGACCAGTCAAAGCATTTCGGGGGTTTCTGCCGACAGGAGAAGAGGTGATGACGATGGGTCGGTGAAATGATACGCAGCAAGGTTCCGAAACGAAAAGTTGGGTGGAAGATAAGCGGCATATTACTGGATTCTGTGTGGGAGTAGATTTCTTGGTGTCTTCGTGAACCAAGGAAATTCGTTGTTCGATGACCTTCGACAACTAAGCTTATCGACATGAATCCATCTCAGCATGCAGCAATTTACTCATTGAACTGATCTTCATCCGTTCGCGGTCCATCCATCCTCCGGCATCAACTCGTGAATGTCGAGGTGAATGATAGCTTGTAAACCCAAGCAAGATGGCTTGTTCTGTAATGCATTAGAACCGCTTAGCGTGAGTCATTTTGTTTAGTAATATATCGTAAGGCTCACCAAAACTCTTCCGATAATTAGGCTTGTTGTTCGATAAATACCAAAGCTGAGCTTGCCGCAAGCCATGCCGACGAACATCATTTTGGACGCATCGTCCACACGTTATTTGCGCAAGTACCTAGACGAAAGACTTGTTAACAAGCCTGGGGTAGATGACACGCAACTAGTAACACACCTTCGTTCTCTCATCATTCACTGAGATAGACTGGTTGCCCACGAGGCGTGCGACCGCACCACAGCTGTATAGCCGACAATTCACCAGAAGTGACGGTGTATGTCAAAGCACCAACAGAAAATCGTAATCATTCTGAAAGAGGCCTAAGAGTATCGAAGGACTGGCGTAGTGGCAGAATTCCCCAGTGCCAACTTTTACATTTAGCATTTCGTCTGAAGAACGAACAAGATGTACTCACTGGGCATCCTGTCCTCTATATTGATGATAGTACGCGTAAAATTTGAAGAAACGACATGAACATGAGAGTAAGAGGCAGGGCGTATTCAAATTCCGGAGCACCCGCATACGTCCACCTTTCTTCCGAACTACCATCAATGAGTCCGTCGTCACTGTCAACTCGCGACGCACTGTCTGGCAGAAAACGCGAACACTTGAAATGTTCAATAAAGCCCAGCCTCGACTCCGACCTTACAAGGGAGTTCAGCCTCTGCAGTGAGTGTCGGTGTTGTCGATGACATCCGCTATCTGACAAAAGATATTGCTTAGGCACATTTATTTAGTCCGTCGCCATATTATCTTACCGTGTTCGCGCCAGGGATCCTTCTACATCTTGCCCAAACGGCTACTTTGGTTCAGGACCGACGCTGAAGATACATAACAACCGAGCCACCCACTACTTGTCTAGTAACAGGATGGTGTGGTTGACTTTATGGACACGGGAAGCTTCAGCAATGTAAAGGTGCCTCTCATGGAACAACTCGACCAGCACACATTTCGCTCGTGTTATCGTTGATCTCCAATGTCAGAAGGACCACAAGAACCACATGGACACGGACACCACAGGCCATATGGACACAGAGAGCATCCTCCTACTACCTGCACCGACTGGGAATGATCTGACAACTTCCATAACACTCACCTGTTGTGGAAAGATGAGGCTCTCGATGCTGCGATCCAAAACAGTGAGGCAAATGGCTTGCCACCCATTACTGTCAGCCCTGCTGCAGGACAACTCTTGTACCTGTTGACAGAGTCCATTGGTGGGGAGAGAATCTTGGAAGTGGATACACTTGGAAGGTCTGTGATCTAGTCGGTCATCCAGCAAAGTGATTCACTTCAATTTGTCAGCCTTTATGCCTACAGGGCCATTCATCAGCCACTCTTTGGTGATAGCACTTTCTTTCAAATCACTGGAACAAGACATACCATAAGGAGTATACTAGAGAAACTGTCTCATCAATGTCATTTTAATGACAGAAGTATCACCATTGTTAGTCTCCCTAGAAATTGCCATTCTGGTGAAATGCTAGCATTTCTTTTGACACTAGGTGAGTGCTAAGTGCTCTGTGTGTGGCTTTTTTCTTAAGGAAATCCTAACAGCACCTAGATGATGCAGACTTGGACTCTATTTTCTGTCTTATTAGGTTGAGTACTGAGTACTTAAAGGGTAGCAGAGGGACGATCAGCAAGACAACAAACAGAGACAGTGTTCAGTCCCTATCCAGAGACCTTTATATTTGATGGTCACTCTTGGTGGTCCAAGTGTATTATCATCAGTCCCTCCCTCTCTCTTTCTAGCAGCTAATATCTTTATCCAGCATGGCCTCATCTCCTGAGCTCCTTCCTTGCCTTCATCCTGACAAATCTGCTCTCCTTCGAGGACTCGTTGACGACTACAAACAACGGCATCATGACCGAGCCTCGACTATCGCAAACATTGTGAGAACCTCTGAGGCCACCTGTCGAGAGCTAGGAGTTGAAGACCCAGACAGGTCATTAATCATACCCTATATTGAAGAAATATATGCTTTCGATGAAGAGGAGAGGAAAGGAGCCAAGTGTGCATTCTCATTTGTCCAAAACTCCGACAAAAGCAGTGTAACTCCCCTCCACTGCCGAGTTCGTGACTACATCGACACCTACACCAGTGGCCTCACCGAAGCGCTCTGCAGCGTCAGCCTCTCCTTTGGTGCCCCTACATTCCCCTATGATCAGTGGAAGAACATTCTCCGAGACGTTTATGTCGATTTCGACCGTATCTATGGGTATGACATGGGCCTTGAGCGCCAGGTGTGCAGTGCCTCGGAGTGGAACTCGGCCTTTATGGATTATGAGGCTGCCATGTTATTTGCATTTCCAGGACGGGAGGCAGAACTCCAGGTGTATCGCAGACATATCCTGAAACTCTTCTGGCGTTACCAGGAGTGTTTCCATGGGCGGATCCTTGCTTATGATCGGGCGGTGCGCAAATTCGTTGGAGGGCGCCGAGACGTGCTCTTCAATGAGATAGGAAAGTTCAATTCGATCCGGGTGGCTTACCTGCGTGAATCTGGTGTTGTGTTTGACCTTTCAGATTCAGGCACCAGTCGGAGTCCGAAGCGTATGCGGATCGAGCTGTAGATATTGAGGTTACCTTTTCGAGTCACTCTGCGGGCTGTTAGGACTAATGATTTTTTTTTGCTTCTACAGCATAAAGTTAAGACCGCAATATCCATCAGGGGGACGGGATGACCTGTATTTCTTTTACTCAAAGCTTGAAGCGTGACTTCCGAGCCCGAGGTCAATCAAGCGGATGTTGTTTCACAGAAGTATTCCGAGTCGTACGTGTAGTGTGTAAGATCGTTGAGTCAATTTCAGAACAATCTGACATTTCTTGCCATTTGAGTATCTTTACCCAGAAATACCTAAAAAATATATGAAGTTTGTTTTCAGTACGAATTTTTGCGAATAAAATAGTATAAATATTTGAGAAATTTTATCGTATTTAGCAAATTTTAGGTAAAACAATGAAAATTTAGATAATTTTTTGCAGTAAACAAACTGAAAAAACTTTGCGTATTTTCTTGATATTTTCACGTGAAAATATGTTAACTTTTGTCGAATGATACAGTTTATGATGGTTTTGTGAATGAGGAAAGCACCAGAGTTCGAGGATTTGGAACTGGCAAGGCGTCAAAGCCGTTCACTTACCCGCCATAAACTCGAGGGGCTATCGTCACCCGAGTCATTTAATTCTCCTTACATAAAGCGGTCGAGATCTTCCTAGGTGCCCTTTAAGTCCTTGTTCACCTCCGATTTATTCTATGAGTACTAATATGGCGTATACCTTGTGCTAAACAGTCCACTTTCGACGAAATACCGATGATACTCCTTGTCGCATAGTTACAGATGACCGTGTTTTAACAGAAGAGTCCGCAACATAGCCATGCCGAGGAATGTTCATTACTGTCTCTCGACAGGGACAAGTTGCTTTGCAAAGGGATGAGCACCATGGGAAAGGAAGGTCATTGTTCCTGTTTCATGTATTTCTACACCAGGACCGGGTAGCACTTCTATACTCATTCAGACTGTCAGTCAAAGCATACCACCAGGTTTCCCAAGCGACCTTCCACGCGCATAAAGACCACCCACTCCCAACACACAGCAAAAAAACAAACACAGCTGAAACCATGTTTTTGGTCGCCATCTTCCTTGCTCTCCTGGCTGGCTTTGTCTCAGCAAACGGGGGTGTAATCACTACGCCAACCAATGGAACTGTTATCATGCCCGGCGAATCCTTCGCTTTCAGCTATGATCCGATGGCGGATTATAGCATATCCACATACAACTACACCGTCTTTCTTTTCACAAAACTTCCTTCGTCCCTTTTCTCCTCCACCGAATGGTCGAACGGGCACTATTTTGGAAGGTTCGATTATCCCAATTATCCGGGCAAGTTTCAGCCGCATGTCAATCCGGTTTCAGTAGACTCATGGAATTGCAGCGGTACCATACTCGACCCATCCAGCCCCAGCTAACCTGACAATGCCGGACTTTTCCCAGAGTCCCCGTACTGGATGGGGTAGTGGAGCGAATGTCACCAATGCGACGGTCTATTTACTCGTCCTCGAAGAATGGCTTACAGGATCGGTAAGTTCTGTTCCTGATGATGATGGGGGTCATGAAACTTAGAGAGCTTTGGCAGGACAATTTTGGTTTGACAATGAGTCTTGCAATCAATGAGCTCATTTATAATGGGACCACGTCGGGATCGTGATCGTCAACTTGCCCACATTTTGGACCCTCGTGAATACGTACAGATTTCTGGACACCATTTTCACAAATAGCTGTTAGCTACGACGTAGTCAGCATACATGTGGATTAAGAAAGCGAATAATTAAATCTCTCACTTGATATGAACGTGCTAACGACATTTATATAGCCTGGGGATTAATACATGAAAAGTCATTATCATTTAAGCTCAGAAACTTCACATTTCAATCACTCAGTCGTTTGCAGTGATCCGGGTTTCCAGCAGGATTCTGCAATCACATACAGTTAATAAACAATACGTCAGAGGAACGACATGAAGAAACATACCAAAGCCCATGTTGGAAAAGCCACCGACTTTCCACTACCCCCACCAACAGCAAACGTCCATACGAAAATCATAATAGCGGTTCCTCCATCCAGTGCAGCACTCATCAGGAAGCTATCAAGATATCTGCATGAGTAGTGCCTCAAACTGACATCGAAAACACCTACTTATACTTCCTGAACCACGTCGCACGATATTTCCTCAAATAATACTGGGAAAACAAAGCGAGAACAAAGGAAGTAAAGACACTCGAATTGATGCCCACGCTCAGATATCCCAGTTCAGCGACAAAAATAGGTGTGAAGACTTTGTCGAATCCAAACTTGGGGTACCTCTTGTGCAGCAACCAGAACGGAATGGGGAATCCGAGACCGGCTAAGAGCATGTACGGCACGAACTTCAGAGAATGATATTAGTGGTTGATATATAGCCCGGTAATAATGGAGAACTTACCCCGTATCTCGTTCCTGTCGCGTACAGAGGTTTACCCAGGGCACCCCAAGCAATGGCATCACTGTTGTATGATTGAACCTATCAGAAGTCTGTTAGTCGACGGACGTACCGACGTGTAAGAAGAATACCTGCTGGCCCGACCAAACGTTAGAGCCCTGAACATCCTTTAAGATATCCCTATGGGACGTCACCACGGTTCTCATGATGACAAAGTTGAGCAGGCCCCCGATGACGGTGCCAATTGTTTGTACCGTGAACGTGACACGGGGAGGGAGTTTTGTGTATTGGCCCTTGGTGCAAAAGGATCAGCTTCGATATGACAGTTAAATGAGAATTGTGATTATTACCAGCTTCAAATCCTTCATCAGGTAGTTCGCCTGAGTAACACAGTTGTACCCGTATCTGAGAAGAAGATTGGTCAGAAAGATAAACTCACAAGAAGTTCCAGAAGCTTACAGGGTGAAATACATATTGGCCACAGGTTTGCCGGGAATAACAGCTCCCCCGAGCATCTGCACCATGTTCTCAATAGACGGTGCATACCCGACGGTGCAGTACAACTATCGCCACCACATGAGCTCGAATACGCAGAGAAGAGAATCAGGGCTCACCGTCCCAATGATGGGCACGAACATCCATCCAAAAATCAATGCCACAATCGTACCCCACCAAGGCAAACCAGAATTAGCACCATAAGTCGTTCCGATCGCCATACCAAAACACGCGACGAAGATCGCCAGATACCACCAGTTTGACATTTCTTTGTAGATTTTCATCCTGCGGTAGTGTGGATCTTCACATTCTTTTGTCTGTCTCTAATATAAACACGAGAAGAAGCAGCACAAAAGGAGAGAAACTAACAGCAGAATCTTGCAGAATCTTATAGAGGGTCTTGAAGTGCCACAGGAAGAAATGAGTGATGGCCGCTGTTTGGGTTGCAGGGGTTGTTAGCACAGTGCACCTATGTCCAAGCAGCTGCCGCACTGACCTCCGATATACATCGTCCGACTAATTTTGTACAAGAGCTGAGACGCCGCATACCACGGGAGTCCAACAGCCCGGAGCTTTTCCTCGTTGAGCGTGAAATCGTCATTGAGAATAGCCAACTGGTCGTACTCCGTCCCTAGACGATAGGTAAGATCCATAGCAAATCATTAACGGAAAATGAGATGAGGCATACCGTTCTCGAAGAAGAGCAGCTGCGTTAAGAATGGGAAGTTCTGCGTGTGCCACGTATTGGCAGCATAACAAGCGCAGAACGCGATCATACAGACGGCACATCCGGCGTAGAGTGAGAGCTGTGTAGATAAGGGTGTGAAGAGCGATCCGATATCACCTCCGCCCGATCCAACGTACACCCAATCGAAGCACAGCGAGAATGCACCGAGTCCCTCGTTGCCTGCCGCACCTCCGAATATACGGGTAACCCATGCACTATCTTGTATGGCAAGACAGAAGATGGATACTCCGGTCAGCGTTCTGGAACGATAATTAACTCTGATGAAAAAGCACGTAAAGGAAACAAACCCACGGAGCAATATACTCGGGGAACCACTCCCATACAAATATACCGAAGAACAAAAGCCAGAAGAAGCGCAGCCTCTTCTTTTGCATCACGGCTTCTTGGCCACGATGGAGTACATCAAACAGCTGGGCTGTCGGAATTACCATGGGATAGATGGCGAAGGTCGGATACACAAGAAGCATGCGCATAATTCCCGCCATGCCGTATCCGATGAGCTGCGAACTAATAAGAGTAAAAATCCCTACAGCGGCATTGGGCCGGACATTGTAGTACAGGTCTTGCGCAGCGAAGATGCTGATAGCCAGAGCACTGTTGGAGGCCGTTGAAGACATAATAGTAATCGCAACATGTTCTTTCAGGTCTGTTATATCATGAAATCAGAAAGTGAATGAATGACAGAACATCAAGAAGGCACGGCGTACTGAATTTGCCCGGATTCAGGAACCGCCAGAACCAATTATTTGGAAGGGTGCCAAAACGCCAGAACGTGGTTCCTGGTCCAGGTATTGTCTGCTCCATGAACTAGAGAAGTAGGGAATCAGTAAAGAGAATGACGAGAACTAAGTTATAGACAACGGACTAACCCGACCAAGAATATACGAGATAATTTGCAAGAACAGCGAGCTCACGTATATTGTTTGCGGACGGAAGTACTGCGATCAGTGATCAGCTCAAAGTTTCGCTTGCCGATAAGCACAGCAAACGCACGAATATCTGTCCCAAGACGGCACCGAAACACGACAGACCGAGGGAAAGGAGCCACATTCTGAACGTGAAGATCGGCAACGTCGGATCATCCTCTAGGGAGAGCAGACGGAGGGCATAGTCCGAGTCGGTTTCTGTGATGATAACTGAAAGAGTTGTTCGCACAAGGCAAGAAAAGAGACATACGGATAGGCCTTTCCTTGCCATCTGGTCCCAGATCGATGAGTCGCGGACCATCGGCGTAGACTTCCCCAATTTCGGAAACATCTAGCGACGATAACCGCTTCTCGTCTAGAGGTTCAACAAGGCCTCTCTCGTCCTCGACGGACGAAATAACCTTGACGCTATCGTTTGACTTTTTTTCGTCCAACGAAGCTTCTTTCACCTTGCGAAAGGTTGGTACGGTAACCATTGGGAAGGAATGGGTTCAGGCAAAGATCCAACCCAACACCGGGAAATTATCGAAGCTTTTATGAGTGAAGGGACGTATCATTGTAGCATGTGGACAGATAAGAAGGGAAGGGTCATATGCATGTCTTCGGGGCATATATAGGAACAAGCGGATGTTCCTTGTCGATTCGAATGACGAATAGCAGCATTCCGGGGCCTAGTATAAACACCCGGGAGCTTCATATTTCTATATGCATGAACACGAAATCGTCGCGGAGACGGACGTGAGGAATGGTTCACGGCGGACACGGCGAGCGTAAGGTGAGGTAAAAATGATGCCATGTTGAGCAACGTTGATAGGTGCCCAACCAAAAATATGCAAGTTTCTAAAGACAGCCGCGAATCTCTGGCATAAAGCCAGGCAGATCCACAATGTTCTCGTTGCGGCCATCCTATGTGAAGGCAACAGTACCCGGGGCCAGGTTGGCATGCAAATGCAGGTGATTGTCGCAATAGGCAAGTGGCAATCACAAGCAACGATATCGACAAGGAACAGCAGAAGATGAATCCATCAATGGTAGATTAGAAGATGTTCCTTTATCACTTCCGTTATTCTAAGAAGTTATCCGGTCGGGTTTCAAAAAAGTAAACACTATGCAATGGTATACTCACTGGCGATGAGTTATAGAAAAGTATAGGTCAACGTGACGCGCCGCCCTGTGGCAATCTGCAAGCGGGACCGTTGATAAGATGGATTCACTTGACCCATCGATAAACCCAACGACGGAAAATAAACCGACCAGTACTTAACGCGTAAGCAGTTGAAAAGCGTGATAAGAATATATCTACGCGCCTGGCTTGCAGAGGGCTAGAGAAGACTATATGTATTGGCCCACACGAGGAACAAGGAATTAAGATGCCAAAGAAGTGCTCTTTCATGAACAATGACAGGTCTATACAGCCGCTTTCTATAGTGTTGGTACTCCAGAATAAGTCTACGGCTTATCCGGGGAAACTGGCACCGGTAGCAGTACCCTAACAATGAGTGTATAAATGGCTCGCGAGGGCAAGGACGTACCCGAGCTGTCCGGTCAAAGTCCCTAGACCATGCGGTCCACAGCTGAGGGATTAGTCCACAAAATGATGAACTTGAATGGTTGTGGTAAGAGCGAAAAGGGTCCAGGCAACACGCCGATGGTACTAAGATGATCGGTGTTCAACTATACAGCGTAATCAGAAACAGGGACGACAAACCCACCGAGATGTTGTTCTGATACCACAGCCAGATATTTATGTCTGCTACAAAAATCATCGTGAGCCGATAATTGGACGATCAAAAGACTCCCGCCTACCCGTGTTCAACGAGTAATCCCCACATATCCTTCCAGTTATCTCCAAGATACGAAGTCTTTCCTTCTGGGTACGCGGAGGTAGTAAAGTGCCGGATTCAAAGCAAGCTGACCAGAGAAGAATGAATCGAACATCGCAATAATCAGGTCGTAACTCTGGGACCTAGTCGGTGATTGACCGGTATTCAGAGATGAGCCGCTGAAAAAAAATCGCATGCCGCAGGTCTCTACAAAACTCAATTGCTCAAGCCGACGACGCAGTGTCCGGAGTGAGGCTGGTGACCAATAGTTCGGTGTCGTATCCGTCGTCATCGTGGTAAGAAGTCAAAAGTTGATCGCTGTGTTATTACACACTCCGCTACCCACCATTTTTACATCTCTACTTACCTATACAGAGCTTGCCATAAAATTACAAATGTATGGAAAAATTATTTGCTTTTGCGTAACACCACTGACCTATGCGAGATGGAGCGAAGGTGCCACATCAGGCCTATTCCTCACAACCCAAGTTGAAAGCCCCACCACCACCACTCCATTAGCCATCTCTTCCCATGCATTCCTAGGATTCTTAGCACACCCCAAGCCAAGCATATCTCCCAGAATTGTAATCAAGAGATCCCAGCGTTGCTGATCTGCACTTGGCCGTGGAACAGGACTCGAAGCATTATGCTGAGGTCTAACGTGCCGGCTGGGAGGTTTCAAAAGTTCTTCAAAACGTGAGGTGATGCAGGAGAGCACACGATCACAGTCTCTGGCGAAAGGATGCACGGTAGGAGGCTGGACCGCAGAGAATAATGTGTAGAGCCTATATGCTTGTTCGTACTGCGAGGAGAATGAAATCTCTTTAATGATGATTCCGATCATCAATTCGTCTAATGCCTCTGTGTGTCGGTCGCTATATCGAATGGTCCTCGACTCAGAAATGGGACGAGTGACCGGATCCCACCTGTCTTGGGACGCTGACGCCTGCGATGAGCCAGAGGGATGCGGGGCTGGAGGCGATATGGCTTCGGCCTTTAATTTTGCGTTAACAATGCGATTATTCGATTTTTTGAAGCGTTTTGATAAGATATTTGAAGCGTGGGGACCAGCTGCAGTGGATGACGGACTAGCACCATGCGAAGACTCGGATTGTGTAGATGGCGGGGGCTCTGCTTCCGAACCTGTCCCGCCTTTCTGGAAGCTCCCACCAAGCTTCTCAGCCTGTGTTAAGGGAGAGGGTGATTGAGGCAGCTCAGCCTGTAGCTGATGAAGGGCGGGCTCATACCGACTTTTATGCGGGTCCTCAAGTTCAGATGTGGTGTCAATATAACGCTCCAGGGTCTTCATCATGGATTTCTTGGACGCAAATGTGAGGGACCCGCCGTCATTTCCATTGAGAAGAAAGACAGAGTTGACGTCAAACGTCTGCTGCGACGTCAACTTTGTTATTTGGAAAGTAAATTGATCCTGCTCCGACATCCGGTACTGATCAGCACTAGTCAGGTCATCATCCCAGGCTGGAAAGTCCGAGTCGTGATACCTGCAGGTCGGGTGCGGTAGTGGTATATAAGCGAGAGTGCTGTCCAGCAACGAAATCGCTTGGGCATGAACCAGACTATTGCGTAGAATAATGGCCAGGCGAGGCCCAACGACAAATACGCGATGGATGTGACATTGCTCTGATAAGCCTTCCCATAAACCGAGTCCACTATTCGTTAGGACGAACTCTTCGTCATCGGCTGGCTGGCAAACAGCCAGGTAGAACATACCTGCCTGTCGCTTATAGACTGCGGCAGGGGTGCTTGATATATCTACACTGCTGGGCAATGGTCCCAGCTCCATATACGTTGCTAAACCTTGCTCCTTTACAAGAGAAGCCCCATCGTCTGATATCTGCGCATCAAGGAAACAATGTAAGAAATGGAGCCATATCTCAGAACTCGTATGCAAGGCTAGACTTTCCCCGAAGCGTTTGAGCTGCTCCATGATGAGCGCATTCCCAGGATGATCAGAGTTGGCGTGGGAAACGGAAAGCGCTACAGTTCGATAGTGCATGAGAAAGAGGAACTGGCGCAAGCCGCCGAGCTTTTGTCGTGTGATGGTAAATGTGCCATCCTTATCGACCGCTTCATGCATCTGTAGGATGACATCGGCGGCGTTACTCTCAAGTCGGGAGAGTTTTTCTTCCAGGTGATTAACATTGAGGGGGGAGCGAACGTCCCTGTAGAGGTTCATCACCCCGTAGACAGTCGCGATAGGGCGGGTTTGAATGGTTCGGGCAGCAATATTATAAAAAAAGACGTCTCCTGGCTCCTTGCCGGTGCGTTTGAAGGCCTTCTGACGCTCTTTTTTCGACCTAGGATACGATGGTGATGAGACAAGACACATCGTTAGGGAAAATCGTCGACTTACATTTGACCACCTACTTGGAACCTGCGCAGGATGAATCTGGGTATGATATGGTGGTACTGGTCACCATCAGCTTTGGGGATAGAAGCGAAGGGCGGACGCTCAGTCATTGCAGAGATGATGATAGTAACGAAGGAGCGTGGGAGCAGGCGCCTAAGAGTGGGCACGAGCTCTTTAGCCTTCGAAAATGATGGAAAGAGCGCGCTTGCACTAATGTTCCGATCACAATTTTTAGCATCATCGCTGAAATCCTATCCAACGTGGACCCTACCGTCGAGCTGCGTCGATGTATGGACCATCGGTTGCAGTTAAACTTTGTCTCTTCGCAATTTCTGAGATCATCGTGGGTCCATAGATCATGGTGGTTATGTAACCATCGACGCGCTCCCTCTGCTTCTACAATATTTTCGCTCGCAGGCAACGGGTCTATCGAGGAAATGATTAAACGTGTTCCTTTCCGTCATATAGAACCAACGAACAGAGACTCCCCAGACGTACCGGTGAATTTGACGCTCTATTATCAAATAAACAGCCTTACTGAATTCTACTGTTACTTTCATGAGCCCTTCGTCCCGTCGTCCAAAACTTGAAGCTGGTTACGGGCGTAATGACAAGCTCTATGCTGTCCGATTCAGAATCATCTACGACTTTGCGATTAATCTTCACCATCTCGATCGCCACACGTAATATTGGACCCTCAGTTACGAACATATCATAGCCAGCTTTGAAAAGCTAGGGCATCGGCACAACCCATTGTTGTCATTTTTCCTCGTTTTCTTTGATAGACGTTGTGTCGACTCGCCTAACAAAAAAGAACATTAATAAAGTGCAACAGAGGGCAGGGAAAGACACACTGAATATAGATGCCAAGCAGACGACTCTATCATAGGTTGTTAAATTTATTAATGTCAGACGCCTAGACAGTCATTTGAATGGCCAAAAGCAAACTGAGCAAATGAGTTGGTGTTCGGGAATCGATTTTTTTACCGTTCGGATCCGGACCACATATCCGATAGGTGTGAATCACGTGCTATCGGCGCGCACCTTTGGCAGAACTTTTCTTGTATTCTGCCTCAACAACGTCCCTCTCAACGACAACGCACCTCTTATTCTCTTTTTAGTATTCACCTCATTTTGAGCGAACTTTCTATCCACTGCCGGTTTCTCAGGCTACAACAATCTTTTGATTATTTAATTCGCCTTGTATTTTGGAAGATGCTTTTGTAGTAAACGCGCTTCTCAGAGAGCCGTCAACGCTGCTCGTGGTTACGCCTTGTCTACACGGGGATTATTCGATTCCATATATAAAGGATACAGGCCTGCTATGCTTAACAGCCTCCCCCGCGCTCCCGACGTTCCACTATGTTTCCATTATCTCTATTCTCGTTCACTGTCCTGCGGTCCTTGTTCATCTCTGCGTTATGTCTCTCTTTTTCTGTCTATCTCTACACATTCATCTCCTACTGTCGTTCCATGGGCACCAAAACTGTCTTAACCATCATGAAAGAAGAATGTTGGCTTTTCGTTCGCTGTCCACAAGAGCTCGCCGAAGCAACGGCTAAAGCCCGCCCCCCTATCCCCCGCCGAAAAGTTTTCTTCCCTCCACCTGCAGGGTACGTCGAGTTAGGAAATGACTTTCCCCCCCTCTGATCGAAACAGGCATATGCGCGTGCTGTTTTACACCCACCCACGCTACTCCGCGTGCAATCGGTACCCATGCATCGAAGGCGACTTCCTGCTGACTGGATCCGGAGACCTCAATATGATCCAAGTTCGAGAGGCCTTCGGTTTAGAGAGCTGTTCGGTCTGTGGCTTTCCTAGCGGACCGCTTGACACCAGGCTCACGAGAACGCATGTGTAGATCATTCAGCCTTCCGGGAAGATTATCGCCGAAGGTGTCCAATTTGAACGTATCTTTTATCACGGTCTGTTAGACCTATGCGATTCAAATGGATGTCTCAGAATTACCGGTTCGTTTCAACCCTCTTCTGATACCATGGATGCTAACTGAATGCAGAACCATATGTCTCTGAGTCTGTGCAGATCCAGCGCAAGATACGTTGGGCTATGCTTTCCTTGACTCGTTCCATTATCCTTTTCGTGTGTGCCATCGGTGGCCTTATTTACGATTTGACTATACCTGTCGTCGTTATGGGCGACAACATTCTGAAAGAGATAGGCCCATTATCCGAACATATGGCGAAGAGTATTGCTTAGAGGTAAGATGTGATATTTTTCTGGCAGATCTAAACTGAGCACGGACCAAAAAACAGTTTGCGTCTCCCTATGCCCACATCTTTTATGTCAAATCATAGTTGTTGTATTATTTTTTTCAAAGTATGCGCCCTTTGGGTAATATATGTTTCATCTTGAACACACCACCCAGCGCGCCTCAAGATGGAACCGTACGACAATTCTGACCCAGATTCTCCTATATGTAGGTAGTCTTTCCATCCGCTGTTCCAGGCCCTTCGCCCTACGACACCATTTGATGTGTGGGAGCTCCAGGCAATAAAACAGAATCACTCTTGATGGTTTCAATGCGCAGAATCCCCCTCGCACTCAGTCTTGGAAGGCTGGACTCTACCATCAATACCCGTTCCAACCTTTGTTTCTCATCTCTATTGCAGCGAGGCCCACGGCGAATGCAAGGGCCAAACGCATTATGGTTGGGCAGCTGAAGTCGCAGCGTCATTATTTATATTCAGTAACATTACTTCTTCAAAATGTGATACTCTTCCCTTTATAGCTTACTGTGTCAGTCTCAGTAGGTCTGCGGCGGCCGAGACCGGAATACCACCACGGAAGTATATATACTTCCATGGAAATTTTTCAAACATGACTCCTATCCTTTAGAGGGGCTTACAGAAAAATAGCATAAATTCCCGACAGTGTACCCTTCAGTACGAACACTTATGACCACCACCATCAGAACACCCTATCAGCTTTATCAATGTCCAATAAGGCATTGTACAACCATCCCCCCTCGACATCGTCCACCGAGTCCATCGGTTCTCTAAACTCTGCACCTGGGACGAGTCCAACGAGTTCCGTAATATCCGCTCCAAATGGAGACGGTCGCACCCTTCGAGAACGCCGAGGCGTGTCCTTCTCCCGGCCGTATTTCGGTCCAGACATTCCTGCGAAGCGCCATCTCGAACCTATAGCTCGCTCGCTCCCCCGCAAAAGAAAACCCTCTGCTCTCAGACATGTGCCTGCAAAAATTGTAATGGACATTGACGACAGAGCGGTTTCTTCAAAGTGTTACCACCAAATGCTCTGCCACCAGGACGTTGTCAGTCTCGGCCCCTATCCAGTCGTAGACAGGAAACGTTGGAATAAACGATATCCACACCATCCTGCATGAAAATTGTAGTGCAGCTAAGGGATCATGTCAGTAATGGCGTGTCGTATTTCGATCGCTCGCGGACTCTTTTGTTATAAAATAGATCCTCCTTCTATTGTCGCAGCGGTGACTGGTCTGAGTAAGATCGGGAAACTGACCATAAAGCAAGAAGAGGCTCGTGACACAACGGTTTATCTCGGAATGAAGTCAAGCGTATAACTTGAATTAAACAAATGTAAGCGTACTGGCAAACTGTCGCCCAGCAGCCCAGAGTCATTGAGTGACCGCCAAGAATGCTAGATCTTGATTGATATTCAATGTCAGTTCGTAAATGGCGGGAGAAAACATCCCTGAAAACTTATGACGGTAGCGAATCTGGCGACAGTCAGGGTCCGAGGGACGGTACCAAGTTCTCGAACCATAAACATCCACAACCCCATCGCTATACAAGTCTCGCATGATGGAAATCAAATGGAAAAATTGAATGCTTCATAGGATATATTATCCACCACACTAGAAACTCTGCTGCTATCAGACGAGCCGCTCTTTTTTCCGCAAAGACATAGACCGGGTATGTGTTCTGCAGCATCGAAAGCTATGCGAGCAGGTAAAGCTGATCAAGGGCTGAAATGGAGAAACTAACCAACCAGACATATCCACGATCTTCATGGTTATCAAGCCCGAGTCTGCAAGTCCTAGTGTCACCGCGAACCTCTGCGCACTTTTGACATAACACATGTCTGAAAGAGAGTAAATGTTTAGGATTTACTTCGATATATAATCGTAAATGCTATATCACGGTTCCTGTGAATCAGAATAGATATATGCGAACCATCCGACCCCATCACCTGGAACTATTTTGAAGTAGGAGCACTTCGAATGAAGAAGCTTGTAATAATCCTATGGCATGAGCAGTGATGATATATCCCGAAGAGAACCGACTGATTCGATAGAAAGATATTTTTTTTGATTTTCCGCACTCAACGAAACCTGAACAAACTATTCAGGTAGAATAAAATTGCCACGGTTGAAACACACCGTTGTTCAGAATTTGACGCTTTGCGCCTGCAGTCACGCCACGAACAAAGACATATGTCCCACAAAAGGGATAAGTCTCGCGAATAAAAAGGTTAGCCATTATTGGGGTACAAGTACCATATATGACAGCTGCAGCAATCAAAACAAACAGACAAAATTGCTAGGAAAGATATATCTTCCCTCCTCCCTCCTCGCTTCATCTAACAGTTCTCCACTCCACCATCCATCCTCTGGCGTAGCCGTCACAGCAATCACATCGCCCATTTGGAAATCGAATTCTTCGTCAATAGTCGCGGTATAGTCGTAAAGCGCTTTGACTGTGCGAGACAATCAACATGGAACAAGGACAGATAACGGATAGCTCATACCATAAAACAAGATCCCGATCCCCTCATTTGGCGGAGGCGAAGGGAGAGCTGACTCTGGAACTGGCGTCCCGTTCGACGTTTGTTCAGGGAGTGGTAGCGATGCCGAAGGCTGCCTGGCGTTTGTCATAGCCGGATTCTCCTGCTTCGGGATTGCCTGTGGACGGGGTGATGGTTCGGTCGAACGCTGTCTCATCGACGCTTTGCGCGATGATGCTGCCACCACCCCCCTCTTGCTACGTTTAAACTTGGCGAGACGAGTAGATACGCTGGGGCCAGCAACCTGCGACGATGCGAATGCGGGTGGGTCATGTATCCTGTTCCCTGTCCCGTACTCATTAACAAAGTTCTCAATGTCTCGGTCAACTTCGAATTGGTCGAGAAGGGTCCGGATAGTCTCGCATGACTGTCAGGAGGTTACATCAGATATACTGCAGTCAAGCCAGAACAGGAATGCGCACCAAATCGTCAGAAACACAGACCGTCGAGACAAGATTGGCATACGCCCACAACGTATCCTTCATGAACTCCATTCTCTGTTCCTCCATCGTTTCGCTATCATCACAAAATCCCCTCCATTCCGACTCCCATGCCACCGTCATTTCTTTCAGCTTGTCCATAAACGCTGCATAGTCCTTCTCGTTGGCCTGAACGGTCTGTTTAGCTCGATTCAGCTTAGCCTGTAGCCGCTCCGTGTCCTTGCCGGAGTTGACGTCTATCTGCTTCGCATACGAATCGATGCGCACACAATCACTCTGGTACTTTTCCCGAGCTTTTTCCACGTACGACTCCTGCATGAGTTTCAGCTTGAACCTCTTCTCCATGGGAGTCTGAACGTTCTTGCGGTGGTCGCTTTGCTGGTTCAGGAGTTGGACAGTAGACTTCTCGAGTTCGGAATGAATTTTTGTCGCCAGTTCAATGTGTGCTGCTGCTTGTTTCTCCGTCTCGAGTTTCAGTGTATCGAGGACGTTACGGAGGTCGCTGTATGGCAGAGAGTTAGAAAGAGGCAATGTACTGGTAACGTACGAGACACACCCAATCTCATCCCTTCCAACCACTCTTTTGGACAGTTCCATGAGCCGTTTCCCGTACTCTTTCTCGAGGGCAAACCTGACAGCAAGTCAGTGAAATGCGGATGTCTCGACGAACTTCTATACCTCTCCTTCCAGAAATTCAACAACTCGTCAGTCGTACGTTCAGCGCCCCGCATCCGAGCACATAAGATGTTGACACCTGCTTCATCCGGACCCCAGAACGAATTGCAGAAATCTCTAGATGTACTCCCGTTGTAAATGTCGTCCCCTGGCGACCGAGCCATGGCGTATCTGGAGAGCGACGTCGCGGAAGAGTGATTGCTGATTGTCATTCCTGTCGACTAAATGTGTGGTGGTGAGAGAAAGGAATGAAACCGTCGTTGACAGATCTGATCATCACTGAGGGCGGAAACAGTGAGACATGGCTGTGTCGGGTAGCTTCCCGGAGGGCCCTTGCTGGCCGTTCTGCGTGCGCATTCCGTGCTGCTATTTCTCCATCCAGCCGACGTTTCCTTACTGAGCAGCATCCTATATAACTCGAATCCCCAGGTCAGCCTTCGTTGAAACTTCCCTAGCGCTGCTAGACGTAATTCCGGGTCATCTCGTCAGGTTCTGCTGTGATGCTGATAGATTAGAAGAGGCAAGATCTTAAGCGGCAGAGAGAGAGAACAGCGAGATGCCAAGCGGAGCGCAGTCGTCATCGTGGTTGACAGCAAACAGACAATTCCTGTTTTCGGGAATTTGTTTTGCACACGGGCGCAGGTATGTTTTTTTATGAAAATAATAATAAAAATTAAAAATCCACCATGATGCAAAATTCGATGTTGAGCGGGAGGGCGGGAGTCTCGATATGGAAGGGTGGTTAATTCAACGCCATTTATTCCTCACCTAAAGCGTGACAAGTTACACTGGAGACGGGGCTGACTTTGGCCCTACTGATCATCATGAGATGTTGTTTTATCATCCCCGGAGCCATATGCTCGACTGCATCCTAAGGATTGGAAATCTCGAATAATAATACATAGACTTCAATTTGTTCTTCCTCCCATACCGCGTAACGCATACAAATTGACCAATAAGAAATTTCGAGAAGTGTAAAAAAGGGAGGGACCCACTTGGAACCACTTTAACCATCAGAATACCAGTAAGGGAAGTTCTTCAACATGCTTCTTCCAGGAAAATGATCACCGTTACATCAGAAAGGTTCGCATCGTCTATGCGAGCCTGACTTCCACCTGCAGAAGTCTGACTAGCACACAAAAGAGGCATCGATGGCCTGCCTTCAACATTAGTTGGATACCAACTCTATAATGATTAATGAATGAAGGTGTGCAGACTCTTACAGGGGACCGGCGTGAAAAGCTGCGGGCCAAAGCAAGCAATGTCCATATGAAAGGACTTTAGGCGCCTATATAACGGTGATGATCCTGACGGATGATCAGTATGGTGTTCAATACAAGAAAAACATACAGCTGCTACGATAATCGATTGCGGTTACATCAAATGTAAAAAGCCTAGCAATTCCTTCCATTCACCGTGAGCTTTCTCGATGTCAGGAAATCTGGGATGAGCATCAGATACCGATACTTAACTGACGGATAAAGCGCATGTCGAAGGAAGTATTCGGCAAAAGCTAGTTAAGAACGCGATTCCCCTTAAAGCCAGCAACTCCAACATAGGTAGCCTCGCCCCGAGACTGCTTCACAGGCGGACGTAGTGGTACAGTGACACACTTCAGAGATAGATGTCTTAAAGAGCTCGAAGACCCTCGATTGAGTAAAGGTTGGGCGCCGCTGTCCCACACATTCTCCATTCCGTCAAGATGCGACATTGCGAGGGCAGCCTATTGGAACACTGAGAGGAGTATAGACCAGTCCCCAGGAAAACGCGTCCAATCAAATAAAGAATTTCCGATAGCCTTGTCAATGCGCGTAAGGTTCGAAAACGGGAAAAATATATGAAGGACCCCGGCACAGAAGTTCGAGTCCATGAGTATCTGAACATATGCTTAATGACCCGGCGAAACGATAAATAACGGGATTGACCCATGGTATTTCCAGAACTAGCAGAGAACGAACGAGTATGATTGGTGATAGATGCGCGGCAGAGTAGAAGACAAGAACGAATGCGACACGAGGGAGCATGTCCGTAACGTTGGGATATCTTCACATGAATATCCAAAGATATAGCCAACGAGTTCCTGAGGGACATGCAGATGCGATTCCAATAATCGGGAGTGCCTCATACGAGGAAGTCATCTGTCTTGCTACATCAACACATGGGTTCCAGGATAGAGAGGTAGGGAAGCACCGAGCTCCCTAAGCATAAAACGATTCCAATCGCTTGAAAGGTGGAGAAATGGCGAGGCGAAAAACTAGAGCAATAGAGATGATGGCAGTAGGAAGGAAAGAGGCGTCGCGGAAGTTGAATCGCCACCACTACCATCTGCATCCTTCATGTCCATTCATCGTTGCCTCTGTCGGTTACTCTCTTCCAAATTCGAGCTCGACGTTCCCGATACCATGAAGAAGTAAATGAGGCCTGCAGATGAAGGAGGTTGGAGAGCACCCGGGCCCAGTATGTCTGCTGCTTAGTTTTTTCCAAGCGTCGTCTCATCCTTTCTGCCTTTTTTGTAGCCAGCTACTAAAATGCATATAAATCTCACCAAGACGTTTCACTGGTGCAGCGGACTATTGGGCATGGTGTCGCCGTATCAGCATGCCACACTGAACCTCAACGGAAGCGAAGACTCGTAACAGCCCGCGAATTCCGACGTTACATACTACCTATTCTCCTAGTACGAGTGTAACAATCGTGCGGCAGGAACGGAAACATAAGGATACCCTCTCGCCATTTGACTTGAACCTCCTTGCCTCTAGGGATGTGCTCTGCAAGCAGCACACCTCTATGGGACGTTTCTTATCAACGTAGATTGCCATTCAAGTCCTATCGACTGACCAAGGGACATCGTCGCTCTCGTATAGAGGAAAGCATTCGCTGATTCTTTTGTTCCTAGGTATCTACTGGACATCCTCAGTAACAGAAACCGTATGACAAAGCAGTCTGACTGTATGTCGAAGTAAATCCGCTGATAAATTATCAATCCTAAACTTTTACTCGCTCCTTCAGACATATGGTTTCTGCGGAAAGAGCGACTCGTCTGGTAGTAGCAGAGTTTCTAGTGCGGTGGATAATACTTCTTATGAAGCATTCAATTTGTCCATTTGATTTCCCTTATGCAAGACTTGTATAGCACCGAAGACGACGGTGTTGTAGATGCCTATGTTTTCGTTACGGTCCTTCGGACTCCTACTGTAACCAGACTCGCCACCGTCATAAGTTTCAAGGATGTTTTCTCCCGACATTTACGAACTGACATTGAATATCAATCAAGATCTAGCATTCTTGGCGGTCACTCAATGACTCTGGGCTGCTGGGCGACAGTTTGCCAGTACGCTTACATTTGTTTAATTCAAGTTATACGCTTGACTTCATTCCGAGATAAACCGTTGTGTCACGAGCATCTTCTTGCTTTATGGTCAGTTTCCCGATCTTACTCAGACCAGTCACCGCTGCGACAATAGAAGGAGGATCTATTTTATAACAAAAGAGTCCGCGAGCGATCGAAATACGACACGCCATTACTGACATGATCCCTTAGCTGCACTACAATTTTCATGCAGGATGGTGTGGATATCGTTTATTCCAACGTTTCCTCCCTGCGACTGGATAGGGCCAAGACTGACAACGTCCTGGTGGCAGAGCATTTGGTGGTAACACTTTGAAGAAACCGCTCCGTCGTCAATGTCCATTACAATTTTTTCAGGCGCACGTCTGAGAATAGAGGGTTTTCTTTTGCAGGGGACCGAGCCAGCTCTGGGTTCGAGATGGCAAATACGGCCGGGGGTAGGTCACGCCTCGACGTTCTCAAAGGGTGCGACCGTCTCTATTTGGAGCGGATATTATGGAACTCGTTGGACTCGGTGGACGATGTCGAGGGGGGATGGTTGTACAATGCCTTATTGGACATCGATAAAGCTGATAGGGCGTTCTGATGGTGGTGGTTGTAAATGCTCATACTGTATGTTGTTTCTGCTTTAAGAGTACAAATCTGTCGGGAATTTATGCTCTGTTTCCGTAGCTCCTCTAGAGGATAGGAGTCATGTTTGAAAAATCTCCGTGGAAGCATATATACTTCCGTGGTGGTATTCCGGTCTCGGCTACACAGGCCCACTGAGACTGACACAGTAAGCTATAAAGGCAAGAGTACCGCTAAACTATTCGTTAAGCAAAACTTCATATTCATCTCCAGAATTTCTCCGTTTCCTCGCTCCATTGGCTCCGACAATCTAAGGTCATGCTGTTCAACGTACACTGTACAGGCTTCGCCCTTGAGGTCATACTTCTTCATGCCTTATTTGACCGCTAGTTAGTCTGCAGAACATCAAATGCAAGCGAATGGTGTGAAGCGTAGAGTCTGAGCGAGGGGCTCTTGTGCCGGAGCTTAAAGCAAGTGACCAGAAACGGCCTGGTTCTTCCCTTCTGCATGGGTAGTCTGCTGATACTCCTCCTCCTCCACTGATCAAGATATCATCATTTCACTACAGTATCGTACTCTTTCCTCCCAAAGACCCTGCTTAGGAGCGCATAATACTCCTCATCATGAGCAGCGACGTATAAGAAGACGACCATTCCTAATTCAAGTTCTGTATCAAATGTAGCTGTAAGTTGCTAACGAAGCCAAAGAAGAAGCTGCACCTTCCGTCCATGATTGGAATATCGGGAGCGCGGTTCTCGGTTGCGATTTGGTAAGTTATGAGAGAGACGGCAGCTTCAGTCCAGTGTCTTGTTCTGTTGCAGTCTGTATTTCATATACGGCACTTCAGAGAATAGATAGAATCGCCGCGCGCTAACTTTAGAATAGTTCTACCTTTGGTTGATTGAAAGCTTAAGTTTTCCCGGGGGAATAGGTAAGACGAAGGTATTCTTTTCTAAAGAATCGATCACATCGGGATAACCGCAGCCTTAAACTAATCTCAAGTCCGCATTGACCGTGTTGTCCACATATTGTAGAGTCCGTGGTAGACGTAGTGCATACTAAATGTGCACGTCCAGATGTCCGACGTGCGTAATAATTTATAGTGTTCATACAGACGAAACGTTATCGCCAGTTGTGGTCGGGGTAGCATCTTGCTTTGTAGAGTCGGTATCAACGAATAGCATGCTAGATCCTGAGGTCTATAATCGCCCATATCAGTGCATGATCATAATATAGGTAAGGCAGTTCAATACCTGGAAGCTGTTCATGGGTATTTCATGGGTAAATCTAGGAGATCTGGGAAACGTCGGACTGGGCAAGTCATGCGCATAACTCCGGCTGGTGTAAATACTCAGACTGGAAGAGGCTATCCGTATATCTCTCCTTGCATTCAAAGTCCACATCATGCTGATTGCATATAGTTTCGGAAGCGGTTGGATGAAGGAGCTAGAGATGCTCTTCACATAAGGATAGGGGAGAAAGATAAATATCAGATTGAGCAAAGCGCTAATAGAGCAGGTTAGCCAGAGCGTTGATAGCAAGGAAGAAAAGTTACACTACAACTGCTGGCGTAGTTGTCTGAAATGTCAAGCGGACTAAGGAGTCCAGCATGTTCATTGTCCTAGGTTGTTACGGATGTTGATAAGGAGGGGGGGAGTAGACACATAGACATACTCAGGCAGGACGCATTTCTTTGTGTGCAGAAGGAAATATGCCATGGCAACTGCCAGCAGCACGTTGCCCACTACAAAAAGATTAGAAAGGGAAAGAAGATAGAAGAAGGGTGGTAGATACCGAACGCAGTAGCATAATGAACGGATACTAATTCACGCATTTCAGCTTTAACCCAAGTTGAAATCAAAGACACATACGCCAATGTTCCAATCGAAGATCGGCAAGTACGATATAATACGTCTTGGATAAGGAACATCAGAATTCGTATTCTGTCATCAAAGATATTGAACATACCGCGGCAGCAGCCGTTCCCAAAGAAAAGACGAAGAGGAAGAGAATCGGTGAAACAACCCAACATCGTCTAGAAACGGCCCAGAGACGATAACAGAAGTAACATTGCACATAGAAGGCGATAAACGCCACCATTATGGCATTACCTGTAACTATGAGAAGGGGCATGCGTCAATGGGAAAAGAACATACCCATTTGATACCAGACGAAAAACATCATTTGTAGGGCGCTGTCGAGATCGTTGAAGTACACGATGTCCTGCATCCAAACAATCGCACTGCCATGGTGGTCAGCCTAGTATGAGTCGTCAACGAGAAGAACGCGTACAATGCCTAGAAAGAATTATTGGTAGCTGCGGGGAGAACCGGGCTCGGGAACAGACCTGTATAGTCTTAAGAGAAGTCATAACTGCGAGAGCGCCAACGCCAACTGTGAACTTCCAGGTATCAGATTTGCCGTACCATGCGTAGTAGTTGAAAAACTAGAAGGAGTCGACGATGATAATCTGGGAAATCGACGTGAAAAACCAAAGATGCCTACCTGGGACGTTAATATTCCTTGAAGGAATATATCTAGACACATTCCGACGAGCTAAGTAGTCACATCAGTACGAGTGTTCGATTTCCAGCAGAAACAGGCTTGCGTACCCAAGGTCCAAGCGTGTACATGACCGCTTCTTGATCCGTATCCGTGCGTTGAGTTACAGATTCACCAGGGTCAAAACCAGCCATTGCATGCAGAAGCGACTCTTTGTTCATCTTCAGACTTATATACAATCATGAAACTGCCAAGCCGAGATAAAGCTTCTTTACCCGTCCTGAGAAATCTTCTATGAGTGATCTGGCTTTTCCTTTCGGTGAAGGTTCTATCCCGCAGGCCAATTGTATGCGGTACATCACCCTTCAAAGCTTCACCTGCCGTCATTGGCCGTGCATTCGATGTGTGTGATCATTATGAGGTTGCTTGTCACGGTACAAAGCGGCCGTATTTGACAGTGGGTAACGGTACACTTTCACCTATTGGCGAAATTAGCTTTTGGCTGATGAAAACAAAGGAAAAACAGATCCAGCGCACTTCGGCCCTTTGAGGCGGTTATGTTCCGAATGGCAAAGCTGACCTTACGAAATCGATTTGATTTGGCATTTGTAATGATGGCTTCGAGAGCGACGAGCGGACGGTCAAGCAGTGCCATAGGCTAGGCGGACGATCCAAACATTTTTATTTCTCTTTCCTCGATAATACGGATGTCAAAGATTTCGGAGCCGAAGGGCAACAAACAAAAACCAGCGGACATCCCATCTGGCACTCTGGGAGGAAAATTCTGTTGTAGCGATTTGAAAGCACTGGCGGAAGTGAAACCAAAGCTGCATATCCGAGTCGGCATCATGGACTCGAGAAAATAAGCCCTTCGCCACAGAAGAAAAGCCTCTGCTCCCAGACCCGCGCCTGCTAAAAATGCAGTAGACATTAAATGGGAGAGCGGGGCTCTTAGGAGACATGCTTCATCGTTGCCATCACTTGGAATACGCTAGGGTCCGGCGTTGAAGGGCAGTAGCGAGCAAAGGATTGCAGGTATCATCATGTGAGCAGCGACCGTGATCACTTCATACCACCATCATCTCTCTTCGTTCCCTTCAACTGACTCAATATCTTGCTTTCCTTGGTATATCTGGACGGCTTCGCTTTCTGGCGCTTATACGTACCATAGATATATGCTACCCATGACGACGCCGTTCAAGAACAGTGCGCCGCCAACTCTAGCCTAGCCTTTCCATGCCCCAAGAGCTCATTGATCATATTCTCGACTTCCTGCATGATGATATCCCCACCTTACGAACGTGCTCCCTCATATCCAGTGCTGTTCTGCTTTTCAGCCGCTGCCATATCTATTCAAACGTGTTTATCGTGGAACGTTCTGAATTGGACCTGTTTCGAGAACAATACGCTGCACAACTGTACTGATGCCAGAACCTTGCTGCATTACTCGAACATATGTTGGTTGCCCCACTGGTAACAAGGCTCTAAATTCATGCAACGTCACGGCAGATAGTGGACATATTCAAGGACATCTCTCTTATTTCTATCGTTCTCTCTCTGCAATCCGTCCCGTATCGAATCTATCTCACGCCAAAATCAGGAACTCTGGGATGAGTTGCCAGTCATCTTACACAGAGTCTTCCTCGCCGCTCTCCGCTCTCTACCACTCCAAACGCTCATCTTCACTTCTATCACGTATGGAACAAACAATTCGAAGATGTACTCACTGCTGCAGCGAATCCGGCACTAAAGCATCTGTCCCTTGTCTCTGATTACAGAAAAATTTGGCCCCGGAGCCTTACCTGCCGATTCTCCCTCCGCCGGATGGCCTACCAGCGTTGGAGTCTTTATCTATCGCTGGGGCCGCAACGGTCGGCAACATTGCGAGGCTGTTCTTCAACCAATCCCTGTACTACATCAGCCGTATCCGACATCTCTTTCCAACCATACTTTGCGACCACCTCATCGCCCGTTCAGAGACTCCTTAACGCGATCCAAGGATCACTTGAGTGCTTCACGTTGGATATCAACGCCTGGACGGGCAAGTCGCCGTTTTCTTCGACTGTCATCTCACTAGCTTCCTTCCAAAGATCAACAGGCCCGTTTAGATCTGAGCCGACAACAGAAACCTCTCCTCTTTTTTCATGATCTTGGTTTTTCCGCTGGACCCTCGGTTTTTTTTGGAATGTGCATCAGTCCTACGTTGCGGACATTGACAGTAGAGCAAGTTTGTATCGACTGGGAGCCTAGGGTTCATGCCTGGGCTGAGGTTAATGCTCACCTTGACAGACTGTCGCTACCTGCGCTGCAAAGTGTCCATGTCAGGCTACATGACAGCGCACATGGCGGTTGCCGCTGTTATAGATGCGAAGGCCTTAAGCCTCTAATGGATCATGAAAGTTAGAAGCGTCAGGTTGAAGACACCATGCCTTTGCTGAAAGATAGAGGTGTTTTTTTGGAGGTTGAATGGTTAAACGTCAGTTGATATTCCGACCGATTTTATACATCTTCTCACTTTTTGTTTCTCAGAGCGCTACTGCATACGGAAGGCTTTCGACCAAGTAGTCTTGTAATTGCCTACTCATTTGCGTGGTATTATAAGAATATTTGTCAGAACGGACAGACCACCCTTATAGCGCGCGTTAACGCATCCTGAAAGCTATGTTACTACAGGCCTGAGGATCAGAAAACGACCCAGCAGTAGGAATACCGTCTATATTTGCGTCGGAGTCCAAGAAAAAGTGAGTTATGATGGTCCTCAACATGTTTACGGCGAAAAATACTATAGCGGGCAAGAACTGCATGCTTAGTCAAGTGTAGGGGTAGCATCAAGTGTATCATTCAGATGACATTAGTTAAGCGTCACGTACAGAAAGCTAGTTATTATGCATATTCGCCTCCACAGCTAGTCGCACGCTTCCTGAACAGCACCTTGCTGCTCTTATTAGGAAACCGGTCGAAGAGGAACGATCCACTTTCTGGAACCTTGTCCATCTTCACGTCAAAGTTCAGAAGAACATGGGACAGAAGGGCCTTCAACTCAGTCACAGCGAAAAAGCGTCCTGGGCTATGATGTGAAGTCAGACCCAACCTCTAGGTATTTCGACATGACTCACCATGCTGGTCGTCCGTTGCCAAAGAAAATATAATCAAGAGTGGGCGTAACCATCTGATGACGGATACCTTCGCCTTCCCTCTTCCTTAAATCAGAAAACCTCCACGGCTTGAATTCCAGCGGGTCTTGGTAGTTCTCCTGCATGGATGATCGTGATGAGAAGGAACCTCAGCGATGACATACACGCTTTATGTTTACCTCGCACATATGCGTGGAGTCAGCGGCGACAGAAAGGTGATAGCCCGCAGGGACAACGGTGCCATCTGAAAACACGAAATCCTTCTTGACCAAGCGATTCATCTTAACTGTACTCTGTTGTCAGCATGGATGTCACTACAAGCTAGAGAAGCATGAGCTCACGGATACCCAGGCCACCATAGAGTCTCTGAGCTTCCTGCAAGAAACTGTCGAGCTGGTTCATCTTTCCCATCGCAGATTTCGTCCAGCCTTCTTCCGTGATGATTGTCTCCACTTCACTTCGGAGGGTCTGAGCATATTCTGGATGTGCAGCCAATGCAAAAAGAGCGGTGGTGAATGACTGGGAGCATATGGTTAGTAGCCACTCAAAACTTTGGAATCAATGAATGTACCATGGAGGTTGTATGAATAGCCGCAAAGTTCATGAAAAGCATTCGAGCAATCAAGTCTGGCACTGTACGCCTCTCGCTATTGCCGTTGCTTCCGTCAATGAGCCACGAAAGCAGATCATTCTGTCACCGTATGAGACGAAGTTTTAGGAAGACTGGTTTGAATCTTTACCGGTTTTTCCGGCCAGTCTTTGCCGTGCACGTCGTCCTGGTGTAGTCGTTCCTGTATGTTAACACCAAGAAGTTTTTCCATCTTGAACGTAGCACGTCTGCGAGGCGTAAAGACGGACCCTACAATTCTAATCGTGCAGGGTCACTATGGGTCAGCCTCGTCAGGATCTGGCTAGACGAGCTCACGTACGGCTTCAAGATAGAAGGAAAAAGGTTGATAACGTGAGCGCAGGCCACGACGTCGACAGTGAAATCGATATTGAGTTTGATATAATCGGGGTTGCGGCCTTGAGTATAAGTTCGTATCAGAAAGACGTTCAAAGATGGAGGAGCGACTAACAGAGAGGAAGACCAACAAACATCCGGTTGCTTGCTCTACACACGATTTGCAAAATTGTTTTGTATGCGGGGACCCCGGTCCAGTCTACAAGTATAAGACAAGATTGCCCGACAGAAGAATGTAAGAAAGTATACCTTCGGTCATTGGTATATTGTCTTTGAAGGCCATTTTAATTTCATCCTGAACATCCGCAAAACACGCGGAGATATTACGCGTCAAGGAGCTACGTATAACGTCTGCATGATAGGTGTCGGCCGCGACACTGGGGCCCATCGTGTAGTCCACCTGGAAAATCTGTAATCATTGGTATGAAAATCGCGCTATAAATTGAAGGCAAGGAGGCAGGCTCACATCCTGGGCTGCGCCCACGAAAGATAATTGCTCGTGTGAGGCTTTTCGGATGTCATCAATCTTCTCGGCCCCACTAACAACTACCATCCATTTGTCGAGCAACGGCACTTTGAATGTTCCGCCGTAGTACTGGCGAAAAAATGAGTCACAACGAATACTGGCGAGACGAGCCTGCATATACCATCGCGTAACCCTCTCGGACAATCTCCTCCCCGTGAAAGACAAACCTAAAGGCATCTATCCAAGACGCAATAATGCCGGATGACCCGACTGTAGGAATCTCTTTCAGCTGCAATGACATTAGCCTACACCAAGGATTAAGTTGCTATAATAAAACAGACCTTTGCTCTGACGATGATAGCCTTTCGAAGTTGCCAGGCAAGTAGAAATACAACGGCCAAACCCAAACTGCGTAGCAGTAAGGCACTGTCTAGTCGTACCCCATCGATGTGTTCTTGGAGAGCCATTTGTTGGGAGAAACCTCAGAAGACTAGGGTTTATATACGAACTCACGGCTGGCAGAGTCAGCACTTCTACATGTACCACGGGACCGCTGACACACTGTTCATTTGTAGGAAGTAGCAGCCCGTGGGCTCGTCTGTCACTGGGATGACTGATCATGCGATATTATTGTCGTTAGATGTTTTCAGACCATCGCAAAAGTACTGTGAAGCGACACACCAGATAGATAGTTGAGCCATGTTCGAAAAGGCCGGTGAGTATCGTGGTTTACTCAGAGATCGACGTTCAGCTCCCAGTCACCGTCTGTGTGCGGTAGCGTTCATTACCTTCTGTACACATTATCCGTCTCTTCGGGGGGACAGTACGTAATGCTTCGTATTGGAAACACCCAGCCAAATATCCAGTCCATGTCAGTCGACATCTCTTCTAGAAAAGCATATGGTCGTAGCGGCGCTCCTGCCTGTGGCATTCTCCAAAGATGAAGCGACGGACATTGTAGCGCTTCTGTGTAGGTCTAAGGACATATCGTGGCAAGGTCCTTTCTCCAGAAAATCTTGAGCCGATGATCCTGAACGCACGACAGGGTACTTCATTCGGAAAATGGCCAACAATATGCGCGTGAAAATGCTCCCGTGAATTATCATTCTGATGGCTGGGAGTGTTGTTGCGGAGGCATTCTTGGGACCGCCATCCATCCATCTTGACGCAAAAGGCCCTATTTCAATGGGCGAGGTAGAGAAGCTACGTAGAGATGGCATAAGTCTCAGTCCTCTCTTCCTAAAGTAAACATGCTTCAAAAAAACCAGAACAATCCGTCAGCTCTACTGACGTTCCATATGTCCCACAGAATCTGTCCAAGTCGAGACGATGACGGCCTTCCGTACCATCCACTCCAGATGGAGACGGTTGCGGACATCGAAGTGCATCCTTCTTCGTATCTTTTACCCACCGGATCTTGGCGACGTCCGGGACCTGCGTCTACGAAACATACAATGGACAGTAACATTAGAGCGGGTTCTCCGTAGGCTCACCATCAAATGTGCTGCCACGTGGGTGTTGAAGTCATTCGCATTCTTTTGCGAGGCAGTCAAGCCTTGCTCCTCTCCAGGCGCAAGGCAAACGCGGAACCTAATAAACCCCACATGAAAGTCTTTGTTCAGGGATTGGGTCAGTGTCCTGTGTAGTGCCAAATGTGCAAAAATTCGTAGTATCAATGTTCCTTTTTCTACTGTCCAGAGTACAGATACTGAAAGAAGCATATAAGGGTGTTGTTAGCAACTCAAGTATTCACCAAACGTTACTCTACCTAGTCAACAACATCCGCTGCTTTAGCATCACGTGCATCTCAGGATTCCAGTCACGCCCATCGCGGCCATCCAAGTTTATTCGCCGGAAGAAGACTGCGGACTGTAAACCACGGTGTCGTTATTTAATTGACCTTGATCGCTTCTCCGTCCTATACTGTCCTATATTGTTGACGACAATGGCCCATGGAATTGAATGACCTGTCTTGCCTACTAAAATCAGTTGCTCTGCGGTAGTAAATGAGAGGCGAGCTCACCAAGACCTCCACCGCGGTGATCCTGTCTGAGTCTTCACCCTTAAGGTATAGGCTTTTCATAGTGCACTTCTAGCACAGCGTCAGTGTGCTGACCAACTAAGTATGGGTTAGCAGAGCGAAATCTCTCACTGAAAGGTATGGGCTACAGAACCCATTTACCTGTGAACAGGGTTGGCGGGTCCCAAAATCTATGGTATCAAGATTTATGGGTTAGGAGGGTTTCGACTGTACTGGCTCAATCTTTGCTGAGACACAATGTTATATAGTACAGTATTCAAATCATACCTACATTCCATTATTTCCATGTCATATCTAATGATTCCAAACAGTTCAACACCTTACATCTACAACTTACCAATACAGATATCCAGCCACTCCTTGAATATCCCAGCATATAAATCCATATTCTCCTGCGAGAGCCATTTCCGCCCCGAAGACCACGAAAAGTTAATCCGACCGGCGTATTGCCAGCATATAGGGACGATAAGCGGATGGGTGACCCGGATGGTGTGATATTGTCCTAGGACGGCCAATTCATCGGCGAGCGCGCCTGTCTCAGGGACAAACGGATTGAGGATATCCATAGCGTGATAGTCACCGATGGAAGATATCATAGGTACCCGCATGTGGAACGCCGAGTTGTCATGTAGGCCCTCGTCGAGCGCAAATTGCCGGTCTACCTCCCGTTGGAAGACTGCGGTCCAGTCGGACTGGTAGATAATAAGAAGAGGGAGGAGAAACGAATAGTGGTTACCTACCGGGGTGCTCTTCGCAACGGAGTTGCTCATCTTGACGATTCCATCCCAGAGGACCTCGTCAGTCGCGGTACGTTGTATCTTTCCGGCCTCCTTGTCGAATCCGACAGCTTTGTGCATGGTAGCCATGTCAAACAACAGATTCGTACCCTCACAGCCGAAGAGAAGGGCACCATTTTCGAGGGTCGAGTATTCGCCGGGGAGTTTGTGACGCTAAGGACATGAAATTTGGCAGCAAAGAATTAGAACGACTGACTTACATGGTTAATGAAGTAGAAACCAATGAGGAAATGCGAGGCCTGCTCGTAAGCGCCGATATTCTTGGCGGCTAGCTCACCGTTGTCTGACTTGAGAGCGATCTGCAGGGTGGACTCTATTTCCGCAAGGGCGAGGAGTGCGAGCATGAGGTCGGTAACCGTTACGCCACGTGCGCGACACACTTGACGATAGCGAGCCGTCTCCTCAGGCGTAAGGCTAAGCAAAGCGTTGACATTATTCGCCTCATTAGCGTTCGTATGATCGGCGTCCACTACCGCCGGTAGGAAGGGGATCTGTGGAACATATCAATGTTCTGCGGAGAAGAAAGGGACAAAGCTCGACATACGAATCCCGGAGGAGGAGCGGGGGCGGCTTTGGGTTCTGGAGCCTGATCCAGAGGTAACTGGGCCGCTAGAATAAGCGTGGGTGCAAGGCGGATAGGTTCTGAACCTCAGTCGATATCTGGTGCGCCTGTAGGTGTCTTGAGCTCTTCGAGCGTCCAGGTCAAGATATATTCTAGTAATTTCATGAGAGAGCGTCCATCTATACTATTATGCGGCGCGAGGTAACTGGAAGATATTTAATTAGTGACTGATGCAGTGAACAGTGGCCCACTCACCCGATGTGCCAATCACCGGGAGTTTCCGCGGACGGTACGAAATGTAGCTGGACAATATACAGACCATCGCTGCACTTCCACCACTTGTCCTCGAGCATCAAGTCCGTCTGCAGGAGTGTCTTGGGTTCCTCGTGCCAGAATATCGTCTCCTCAGCCCATGCCTGCGCCTCGACAGCTGTGGGTACTTGGTATTCAAACCAGTAGTGGCCGTCGTGCTTCGTTTGCCTGCACGCGATGGTGGGGGACAGGTGGCGGGCCTTGATCCAAGCTTTCTGGACGGGCAGCTCTAGCTCGGCGCGAGAACGGGGCGGTGTGAACCGAGCAGTCAAGGTCCCCGCATACATTGTAAAACCTTCACCATGGTCACTAGATACGGCATGTCAGGGTCGAGCATCGAGAAAGGAAAAAGGAATTCTCACACAAAGTAGGCAGCCTGAGCTTCCTGGCCATAGAGCCTTCGTGTCCACAGCTTTCCATCTGCGGTACCGAATTTGAGATCAGTAGGACTCAATGATGCAGACATGGAGCGGGAGCGGTGACGGTAACCTGACCGTCCATTGAGATTTATTAAATAATTTAATGGATTTGTATTCCGCATGCTATCACGGCAGGAGGCATCAGAAAGAATCTAACGAAAGATAGGAGCTTGGTCAGTTCCTGCTAAATCGAATAACCGGCCCGGAAGCAATTCCTACGTGACCACCGTGATTTCCTAAAGTGGCCAAGTTGGACCTTGATCCCTTCGCACCACTACCGTGCCTACGCAATATCAGAAGACGCCCTAAGACGCTTTTTGAAACTTCGTTCTTGACATGTGGCCCCTAGTGGATCATTAAAGTAGTCCCGCATTTCCCCCCATCTCTTGGGCTATTATTTTCCTCCATCTTCTGAAGATATCTCCCGCTGCAAACATGGATCGTCCCGTTGATGGAATCAATGCCAGTTTCGCCAGCACCTTGTGGTTTCTCTCAGGGAAATATTTGATGACACTGGCCTGTTCCTGGCTGGCGATTGTCGTGTTCTACCGACTCTATTTTCACCCGTTGGCCAGATTCCCTGGTCCAAAATTCGCTGCGATTTCGAGTCTATACCATTTCTACTACGATGTGGTTCAGGGGGGAGAAATGTTGTCGAAATTGGCAGAATTGCACAAGATTTACGGTAAGTATGTTGTCTGTATTACTTTGAGCGGCCCTCTCATTATCCCCGTATAGGTCCTGTCGTCCGTTATGGACCCAACTCCGTATGCGGCTTCTTGAGGTTTTCAGGACCTTTGACTGACCGTTGGTCTTCAGCTGCACTTCAGTGAACGCCTAGCATACGGCGATATCTATCGAACGGGAACGAATCTAACGAAGGAGCCATTCTTCTACAAATGTTTCTATTTCACAGAGGCCTCCTTTGGATTTACAGATCCTCAGAAGCACAAGGCGCGTCGCGAGATGATGGCGCCCTTCCTCCATCGACGGGCGGTACTTCGACTTGAAGGTGTTGTTCAAGCAACTGCAAGTCCAGTTACCTAACATGCCGAGAAGCGATCGTCTAATATTACGACAGGTTGATAAGCTAGTATCTCGCCTATCTGAGAATGCCGACGAACCTGTTGACTTTTATTTTGCCTTCCGCGCTGTCGCTCTTGAAGTCATCGCCACCTATTGCTTTGGTCAATCGTTTGGTTGTCTCGATGTACCTGGTTTCCGTCACCAACTTCTTCTAAACATTGCCATCCAGATCCAGAACCTTTGGGTCTGGAAATGGTTCCCCCTGCTTCCCGTAGTTCTCATGAACTTGCCGGACTTTATCATTCTTAGACTTGACCCTACTTTGCGTGCCAATCTCGACCTTCGTGATATGCTCACGAAGCAAATCGACAACTTTGTGGATAATGAAGATAATCTTAAAAACAATGCACACGAAGTGATTTACCACCATTTGTTGCATCCAAGCTCGGAGAGACATACGAGGCCATCCAAGAGTTCTCTCCTGGACGAGGTAACGTTTTATCGTCGCTTCACGTATTTACTGCCTGACTAGTATGCCATTGCTAGGCAATGCTTCTAATTGAGGCGGGAAGTGATACCGTTGGAAACACATGCTACACCGGGACGTTCTACGGACTCAATGATCTCTACATCTACAAGAAGCTAACGGCAGAGCTCCAAGACGTATGGCCCGATCAGAACCAGCCTATGTCTCTTCAATCGCTTGAGAAACTGCCCTACCTTGTAAGGAAGAATTGTCGTCAATCCAGTTGGTCTGTATTCTCAATCATTCCCTAGACTGCCTTTATCAAGGAATCCCTTCGCCTAAGTCATGGGGTAGTCACTGCGCTACCTCGCGTTGTGCAGAAAGCAACTCGAATCTCCGATTATGCCGTCCCAGCAGGAGTACGCGGGTCTTTTCACGTTCGTATGCTTGTCTGAACCCGGTATCAGGTCGACGTGTCGATGGCCGTAAGCTTTGTCCATCTCGACCCCGAGGTCTTTAAGGACCCTCTGCATTTCAACCCGGACCGATGGCTCGCTCCAAACGCACAAGAGCTAGAAAACTCCCTAGTGGCTTTTTCACGAGGGACGAGGATGTGCGCGGGAATCAAGTGAGACTCGCCCGCCTTTCGTCATGTGTATTTCTGACGGCCGAGGGATAGTCTGGCTTGGGCAGAACTATATCTTATCCTCGGCAACGTGTTCCGCAAGCTGGATTTGAAGATATATGATGGCGCGAGGTAAGCGGCGTAGTTTGGTCCCTGATGCCTTGCGCTGACCTTTTTCATCCTGCAGGGTTGAGGAATTCGCTCATTTCAAGGAGTACTTCGTTCCAGTACACCGGGGACAAAACCTAAAAGCGCATGTGGTGAAGCGGTCTGGTTGAGAGTATTTTGTAAACGTTTTCCCACTGCTGGGAGGAGACGTCCATACACAGTATGCCCGAAATTAATTTTCGTAACGTAGGAACGAACATCGCTACTTATAACGAAACTGATTGTCTCCTACTTAAGGTTGGACTGCGCAACATACACCATTTTCTTGATCGACAGCGACCATGACTACGACTGACGCACTTGGTTGCCGGCGACTTAATACTAATAGCTAGTGCATCTGATAAGCCGACTCGCAAGATTTGCAAGGACCAACTCTCAAAGTCTCAGTCCTACAGGATTAACATTGGAGCGACATCAACCAGTTATACGTAAAGGAAAAATGCCTAGTCTGGACTGCAAGTCCTGAGTGCACGAGGTTAGCACCTAGTATCGCCAAGTTCCGGAAGCTTTGAAATTCCTCTCAGTTCCATTTTCCAGAACAAATTCGAATGTGGTACAAATCAAACACCAGGTCCCCGATCAGGAAGTGGAATTTCAGTGTCTCGGTGCGGATACCAATTAAACCGTAACCGGCTCCGCTATTGCACGCGTCAAAGCACGGATGTCTTTTACATTTTAATCTGATACGAGCCTATGGATAGCGTCAGGCGCAGTCTGGCTCTAAGTTTTAGGCATCACTTTTGAAAAGTCCAGGACAGGCTGGCACCTACAACTATATTTCACGGATTTCAGGGTTGCGTTGCGACATGCGCTTGTGTCGCAACACGACAGGCGTATCGGTTTCCCACGCACTCCAGATTTTTTGGTTCCCGGATCTGTACTCCGATCCGATCTTTTTTCGATTTTGAGATGCTGAATCCTGGGACCCTGATTGTTGAATGTCTGTCACGCGAACATATCATTCCAGAAATACTACTAGAGCAGCGGCTAGATCCTACCCTTCAAGTCTTCTTTCCCTAACCCTCACTTCGACTTCGCTGGCGTTGCTGCCATGACCAGTCCTATTGCGATTAGTGAGTTGTTCTGCACTGTGAGAAGGAGTGCCGCTTATCGGAGGGTGTAATTGCAGCACATGGACCAGCCCTAGTGGGGATTTTCCTTGCATGTATACTCTACGGCATAATGCTGCTCCAGTGTTTTTCATTCTGGACACATTTCTCAAAGTGAGCTCGTTATTCCCCTTATAGCGTTTACTTACAACGATTCGTTGGGTCGCAGAGACAGAGTATGGCTTAAATGCTACGTATGTGGCTTCCTACAAAGCGTTTTTCTATCGCGGACATGCTAACTTCAGAGGCGAATTTAGGTTGGGCTCCTGCTTTTCACCGATACATTAAGGTTCATTATATTTCTGTGTTATTCCAATCACAGTATTGATTTCATTCCCAGTACGATATTTGCAATGTGGTGGATATACAATCTGCTCGTAAACAATTTCGGTGCACATCTTCCAATATTTTCGCGACGTTCTCTTATTAACGGTCGGCTTGTTCAGAGAACCTCACTGCATTTGCTAATGCCGATTGGCGTACGTGTATTGGCCCTTTGAAGAACTACAAATATCTGATTCTTAGACGTGGACAGTTCTTGCGGCTGGTACGCGCCCCACCTTTGATCTATTTTCTGGCTTTGCTCACATACTCTCACTAAATAAGACCCTCCCCTCGTTGTGAGTGCCTTATAGCCTTTGGTTGGACATGCGTTGACGGCCTTTTGCTTCAGGGTATCACGGGGACGTTTTGCCAGCTTTTCTTTGCATGGCGGATAAAAGTGTTGACAGGCAAGTTGTGGCTTACTGCCATTGTCGTCACGTTGTCTATTATTTCTGGGCTTTCCGCCATTGGATCTGGTATCGCTGTTTCGTGGGTCGTCAAGCTAGCGGATTTTACCAAATTCGAATCCATCGGATGCCTGTGGTTGGCCACAACGGCTGCCGTTGATATCCTTATTACCGTTATAATGTCACTGAATCTTGTGAGTACATCAAGCGTTCTATTGCTTTTTATTGAGTCTCATGTAGAACCAACGACGAACCGGGTTCAGAGCGACGGATAAAATGCTCAATAAAATTGTGCGAGGTAAAATTTGCAACCAGGGTGTATTGCCTTTCCAAGTCCTCATCACGCTTTCATAGCGACCGTAGCGAACGGTCTGTTGACGACGGTATTTGCTATCGTGGAATTGTCACTTTATGTCGGAAAGGTGTGTTTACATCTATGACTTTTTTCCACCGCAGCGCTGAGATAGATGCATTTTCAGCCTAATACGGGCTTGCATATAGGATTTAGCTTCGTTCTGGTATGTATAACCGTTGTCAGTGTGACTCCATAGGTTCAAACACCTGCATTCGACAGCCGAAGCTTTACTGCAACTCCGTTCTTTCCAGTGCGTTATTCCATGTAGCTATCTTCTGGGTATCTAACAGCAGAGTCACACAGGCCTAAACGCAAGGAAGTCTACTTCACCGTCGTCAACGGACAACACGTCGAGTCATATATCAGGGCAAGTGAGTATGGTTTCAGAACCTACGTCAAGCCTCTTATCGTCCTCTTAGCGTCCACTCCCTGCTACCGGGGGACATTCGACTCGAAATGATGCAGTGAGTCCTAGGATAAACGATTGCCCTGTGCCCTTTACTGATGTCATTTCAAAGCTCGTCATCACGGTGAACACGGAACACCATGAAATGTATGATCTTAACAACTACAATGGCAAAGGCAACTCGGAATGGGACGACAGCGCGGAGGCTGGTTCGCACCGAACCAAACAGATCGAAGTTTAAATGCTTCCCTCGTTTGCTTCTCGTGCTCGCTCTTTTGCATGCTTTTGACTTGTCAGTGATTAGAGGGCTGCGAGTATAAGTTTGCTCTGGTTCATACCCTCTGGATTAGATGTTATACCAAGGGGTATTTATATGTAAATATGTGTACGAAGCCGCGAGGAGCATGAGTCGTGTAAATGGCGAGTATTATTTATGATACGTACCTTGTCGCCGTCGGCAAAGCTGGAGCCAGCTTTGTCCACGAAAACATTCATGTTTTTCCCGTTGATCGTCGGGATTGTCGGCAAACAAACGTGAGAATGAGTTTCCACGTGTAGACAAGGCTGATTTCTTCATTACCACACCACTGTTTTCATCACAGTCGAGCCTTTCCATTACCCCGCCAGGATCGCGTATCTGAAGGTCGTCAGGTACATAGGATGTGGTATTATGGTGAGTTCATCTTGTTCTAGTATCATTTGACCTGCCCACCGTGAAGTAGGGACGCTACGCGTTTTCTTCTATGGTCTTTAAATATGTTGTACCGGGAACTTTGGCATTGTGCTCCGGCCATCGTCACTTGGTCCCACTGCATCAGCATCGTCTGGCTTGAAGATACATGAGAAAATTTTTCGAAGTGCTGAGTGCAGAATGAGATTCATTATGCAGCATGCTGGTGAGTCGCCTTGCTTTATGTCTGTTGCTTTATGTCCAAAATCATCTAGTTTATACTTTTGCCGTCTTATGACGCGTGCCCAACCGTGTTAGGGGAAGTTTAAGCACTACTTGCTCACCATGGTCCGTGATACGAGTCGAAGCATTGGGACGAGCATTTGAAGGCGTATTGTGTTATTCATGGTAAGACACCTTGGCCCTCCTTTCTTTTTTTCACCTTGCTCCTCGGCCTCAGGATCGGGCGTTGATACGTCGAATCGAGACCTGACGGGGAACGGTGTTGGCTTGCTTGATTCCATTTATAGATACCGAAGTCAATTCTATTTGTCAATAGAGCGCCGACGACGGTCCGCTGAAGAAGTCACTGAACGCCATGACTCTCTGTTCATGGTCAGCTGTACCAGCACCTGAGGTTCTTCTCCTTCTCAATGATGGCATCGGTGTTATTCGCGTATGTCATTTCAAACCAAGTGCAGCGACACCAGTAACTGACCCCCAGTCCCACAAGATGAACGTTCTCGTCGTCTGGACAACGCTTATTGCGATTTTCAAGTTTTCTTCTGCTTTACCCAGTTACCCGGTCGTCGGCTTGGACTTGCATCTGCTGTTTGACAACACGGCCGCTTCACCCAATGGCTCGGCCGATTTTGATGGAAAGGGGGCGTCGTTTGATAGTGGCTTTTTGCCGACGGGTCCATGGGTGTATGACAACATCGAGGTGGGTTTCATGTCCTTGACCCTTGCATGACCCAAATTCGTATTAATGGCTTGAATCATAGTATGCGCTTCCTTCGGAATGGGGTACATCCAACGACAACGTCATAGCCGATGGACAAATCCTGTACTTGGATGAACCTACGTTCCTTCATGAGCTCCACTTTCTCTTTGCAGGTGACGCCGATTCAGGTAGTCCTGTATTCGTTCATCAAATTGCTGTCGGGCACTGATCTCCCCTGGGTCAGGAACAACTGAGTTTGGAAGCGTCTTCACGCTTACATTCACTGACAACTCTACGCAAGACGTTGAACGTAGGTTCTCCTCTTGTGCGTATGGATTGGCTAACCCCAAAGACACTACAGTTATTACGTGGAACTGGTGGAAGTGGCCGGTCATCAATAATGGCGTCATCCACACGTAGGAAGCTTCTCTTTTGCATATGGTTCTCGTCTGATATTGTCATCAGACCATACCACTACGAGTCTGGGGGAGCGCTGAAGAACGAAAACATGACAGACATCTTCCAGTGGTCCACTGCGACACCGTCAGAACTCGCCGTGACCAGCATCACGTTTCCAAGCATTGCAGACGACAACAGAGCGCACATTTTCGCGATGGCCATCTCGCCTTCAGTGACTCCTGCAGAGGCCTCAGAGCCCGCGTTGGCCATACGAAGAGCTCGGTTCACCACCCTTTGGGAAGCCGTAAACGGCACCCGTGCCCAAGTTGTGGAGGTCACGGTAGCGAATATGCTCCCGACGCGTCTTTTGTCTGCGGAGACATCTCTTCTTTCGAAGCATGTGGTTTCCGTGTCTGGTTCTGGCGTCGAAACATTAGTTCCAGGTATTGTCAATCGACTGGTGCCAGGCGATCAGGTCACAGTCGAAGTTTTGGTGTCGGGAAGTCGTGCAGATGGGAGTGCTGCTGTTACGATCGAGGATCCAAATGGCGATATTGTGGGGACTTCTTCGGGATGGCTCACAATCCCGTTGGTTGAATATTGGACTCCAGACGCTGACATTTTAAGGACTCATGAAACACCATCCTGGGTAAGCGAATTTGCTTCGGAAGACGTTTTGTGTATTAACCAGCATGGGATAGTGGAATCGAGCAAAGTTCGGTATCTTGTGAGTATTCTAGTCTTCGCTCTGATTCGCGCATCCTAATATCAATGCTATCAGCATTCATTGGGGGTTGTATAGTGTTCCGGCATTCGCACCTCCCTCCTCCTATGCGGAGTGGTATGAGTAAGACTCTTTTTCATGATGACCGTTTGTTGATACTCATTAATTCGTGTACGTAGTTGGTACTTGCACAAGGACCCTGGTCCCAGCAACCCCACATGGGTGTATCATTTGGACAAATACGGAGAAGTAGATCCGACTTGTGGTTTTACTCGCAGAGCATTTTACTAACTCCTGCGATAGGATATCGTTTATGATGATTTCATGGTCAACTTTACTGCATCAAAATTCAACGCCAGTGAATGGCTCGATCTTATAGATGACGCTGGTGCCAAATACTTCGTCTTGGTCACTGTATGAATCCTGTATCGCTGATGCTCTAGTGCGCATTCATACTAAGATTTGTTATTAGAAACATCATGACGGCTTCGCCTTATGGGATACATCTACGACGAACCGGACGTCAGTCGCACTTGGGCCCAAACGCGACTTGGTGAGAGAATTGCTCGAAACGTCAAAGGCGGAGAAACCTCATCTCCATCGAGGAACGTACCTTTCTTTGCCGGAGTGGTGGGTTGCATTACATTCATTTTTATTTCATCTTAAAACCGACATCTAGGTTCAATCCGGACTACGCAAAGTACGGTTTTGATATGTGGCCCGGAGGGCTTGCTCACAATGCGTTTAATTCGTCTGAACTTGAGCCGTACACCGGGCGTTTAGAGATTAATGACTATCTTGTTGATTTGCAGCTGCCTCAAATGTTGGAACTGGTAACGACGTACGAGTCTGAGATCATGGTGAGAGGGCCTCTTTTATTACTTCAGAGAAGAGGTGTCTGATCTCTTGAATAGTGGTGCGACATTGGTGGGCCCAACAAAGCGCTAGAATTTGCCTCAGAGTTCTATAACAACGCGCTGGCTAATGACCGGCAAGTAACTATGAACAACCGTGGGTTCTATTCCGTAGTGGGCTGGTTAGTGCTAACCGCGCATCTGACAGGATGCGGGGCTGTACCGGATTTTGAGACACCAGAGTACTCGACGTTTAGCGCGATCCAGCCACGAGCATGGGAGAGCAGCGAAGGGATGGACCCCTTCAGTTATGGATTGAACCTGCAGACCAATGATAGCCAATACAAGAACGCGACGACGATCATACATTCGCTCGTGGATATCATCTCAAAAAACGGGAACTAGTATGGAAGATCCGTGTCATAGAGATGTGATGTTAAGATTGACCTTGCGTCCGCAGCCTCCTTGATATCGGACCTACCGCGGAAGGCGAGATCATCCCGATCATGCAAACCAACCTTTTGGATACCGGACGTTGGCTTAAATATTCCGGCCGATGCGTTTATGATACCGTAGGTATTCTGAGCTCTAACTAAATGCTGTCAGGCATTTAATGTTCTTGCTCCCACAGAAATTTTGGTTCCAAGGTTCCCAAGACACGGGTTCGAGTCCTGATGTGCGATTCTTGACTACACCTGGCACGTTCTGCATCGTGGTTCTCTCTCAGCCAGAGGACGGGAAGATTGTCATCGAGAAACGTCTTCCGTTGCTCCCTGGGGACGAGATGGTTCTTTTGGGACCGGATTCAGATATCGCTGTGGCGTGGTCAATGGACGGGGCAAGTGGACAGTTGACGATTGACGTAGTAAATATGGAAATTTTCGAGTATGCATGGGCGTTTGAAGTACGCTATAAAGTGGAGTGATATTTTGTATTCCTTTCGTGCTTGTTACAAGCTAAATGGCAACTTTTTTCTTCATGATGTCTTGCGTGGGGAAATGCTGGTCTTGCCTCTCAGCGACGCTTGCTTACGATCCTGAACTCTTTACTTTGTTTCTTCCTGATGACCATCAATGGATGGTGCAAAGGGTACAAACCCCTTACATTATTCCGGACATATCTCATCCTCAAGGCAAGGGATGGGATCACGGAACGGGCGCCTAGTGATGGTCGTAAAGGACCTGGTTGAATATTGGAAGAGTTCATATGATTGGCGAAGAGTGGAAAAGAGGCTGAATTCTACAATCAACATGTTCACGGTCGAACTGGAAGAGGCTGGCTAGACAATTGACCTGCATTTTGTGCACCACTGAAGTACTCGTCCAAACGCCATACCTCTTACCTTTGTGCATGGCTGGCCGGGTAGTTTCTTGGAAGTATGTGCAACTTCTTGGTGTATATTACCATTCTCGTTCTCGTGTCTCTGTGCGTACTAGGTGGAAGGCATCCTCAAGCTTCTAACAGAGCCAGATGATCCCGAACAACAAGCATTTTTCCATGTAGTCGCACCCAGTATCCAGTATTCCGGGCTTCGCGTTTTCCCACCGAGAGTAAGAGCACCCATTTACTTTGCTTGCACTAATTGGCTCACAATTTCTTGAGGCTCTTGGATTCTCTGTGGCCCGCATCGCGTCTATGTTCAAAAAGTTGATGGATGTCTTAGGGTAGGTATCCCCACTTCGTCGCCCAAGGCGGGGACTGGGGTGCGTCAGTTATTCATTCGCTCGCTTGCTCTTCAATTCCCACAGTCGTGCATAGGTATCCACACCAACTTTATCCAAGCCTTCCCCCCGTCCCCCCTGTAGTACCCTCTCATCTTACTCTGGCTCATGCTCGGATGGCTGACGCCGAGCGAGAAAAGGCGGACGGATCGAATGCAAACAGTGGTTCCAATCGGAGGTGGGGCTATACGCTCATTCAGGGGACCAAGCCGCAAACCGTTTCTTATGGCTTGCTGGATTCTCCCGTAGGGATGCTAGCTTGGCTGTATGAAAAAGCTCCACGGCGTCGGGAGTCAAGTGGGACAAAGAAGTCGTTATTACCAGGACCATGATGTACAATTCTATCCGGAAACGCCGGTCATGCTAGACTCTACAAGGGAAGCAAAGCATGCAGACTGTACGACACGAGGTTATGGATAAAAAGATTACCAAGGATGTCGCTGTTGGAGTTCAGTGCGTTTGAATTTGACATGGCGTATATTTCCAAAGTGGTGGGCGGATACTGCTGTCTGCAGAGAAAATCGTGGCTTGGCGAGAAGATATTATTGGGGGACATTTACCTGGCTCTAGAATGCAGTGACATTTTGGCAGACGACAATGTTAGGGTGTTTTTGTACGACAGATTCAGGGAAAAGAATGTGTTGTTTTAATTGAGGCGGGTAATTAAGGGTGGCATAACGAAGCTATCTACGGTATTATTTCTACTGTAACTATCGGTTACGCGTAAAAAGCCACACCCCGCTTTATAGAATACTTCTGCTTGACTCACGCTGCGTTAAGAGGAACGGTATAAAACCTCCGTGTCTACTATCTGGTGGCGGTGCCCCAAAGCCACGGATGTAATCGCTGTGAATCTCCGCAGGATCATCGATGGCGTGCCTTTTGGAGATTCTCCGTCCCGAAACTGCGTACCTGGCTATGTCGAGAAACTGGGGAACCCTCCGTCGAAGAATCAAGGTGCCATTTACATGGATGAATTCCAGATATGCAAAAGAAATAAAGCTGCAGCTGATCTCTACTACACTCGTTGTTTTGGCGTTCTTTCCTGTGGGCAACGATTATATCTTCGGCGATCCCCGCATACCGTGGAACGATCCGTAGGGTGTGAGAACTCCAAAAGAAGATGATGCAAGCGCTTTCTCTTCCGGTGCCGGTATATCTGCAGGGTCGGCCTCACCTCTAGTAACGCATTTATGAGACGGCACCCCTGGATAAGTCATAATCCCAAATCCGTTGACAATCATAAGATCACGGTTAGAATCTGAAGGGTCGTGAGTGTATGCAGATTTCCCAAGTGAATATCGTAGTAGCGAGATATAGAACCTTCCGCTTGTCGATGGTCGATGTCGGATCTGAATCGTTCATTAGGGCATATAGTTCCTCATGTACCTGAGGCAGGATGTGTTCAAACTGGTATGGTCAACGGTCTCTTCGGGAGCGAGATGATTACCTTTGACCTCTGGAAACTCGAAGTAAACAGGATACTCAGGCATAGAGTCCGAGAAGGGTATATATTTGTTCTCTTGTAGTTGCGTAAGATTGAAAGATCGACATTCTTTCGTGCACGAGTCAGAGACTCATGTAGCCATCGAGGTCGTACACCCTGAAGGAGTTCAACGATTGTAGGTTCAATTTTCGTCCATACCGAGTTTTGATGTAGGCGCAGTCCGACTGTAGGGTAAATTGTAATGGCTTCACGCACTACGATCAGTCAAATGGCAAGCTTGGTTCACATCAAGTTCGGTCGGGTCATGCAACGCTTTCAAGTAGTAGTAGTACATGTATTTCGACTTCTCTTCCTTACTTTCCCTGATGTACATCTTTCACGTTATATCTTCAAACTTTGAGGTTCAAAGGCGAGACCTCGTCGCACCGAGCAACACAGTCCAAGAACATGTTGAAAAATCCATCCACCTATGCAGGGAAAATGTGGTCAGTACTCTGGTTTTGGGGAAATTTTAAACCACTCACGTTGACTGTCTCAGCGACCAAACAATTTTTCCCTGTCGCGCCCCATGAATCATCAGTCTTTTGGTATTTCCACGTATCGACAATGGTCTGTCCACTAGAATGTGCGCCCGTGAGCTCGACATCAACTCGGAATCGAGATGCAGTGAAGAGCTCGGGATGGGCGGCATACGCAATCGTCAGCGCGTCGTGCATCGGGGGACCGTCCAGAAAGCCGAACGTCGACTTGTATGACTCTGCAAAATATCCAATAAGAGTCGAAAGGGTGTACCGGAGGTTTGTCGCAGGCTTAGGCAACGGCGAGTCCGGCCCTACGGCAGCCGCAGGCGATAGGAGCTTGCTTATAATATCCTTGGTCGCGATGACCGTGTGGGTGACGTTGATAGGGATCATGACTGTACGGATGGGCGCGTTCAGAACGATCTGAGCTGCGTGAGCTACATGAAATTAAAAAAAACGTCAGATAAAATAGACGCGTCGAATTGAAAGACGCTTACGGTCGCACATGACGTTATATTCTATCCCACCCGTTAGAAACACCATTGTGTAATGATCAAATAAAAATCATACTTACCAGCAACAGCCGCGCGATTTCCGAGACCGACACCTCCACCCATGAACACGAATTCCTCGACGGCGTCCAACAAGTCGTGATACACCGAGATGAAGTTCGCGATGTTGGTCATGGGACCGCTCGAGATGATGATGACTTTCTCCAAGCCGGACCCTTCGATCCACACCTTCTTGACGGCTTGGGAAATACCCTCGAGGGCCCGAGCGACAGAACCATCGGGATTCTTGGCTATCAAAGAGAGGACGGCAGGGTCGGTCCCAGATGCTAATCCCACGACGCCTCCCAAGCCATCGGGACCGTGGATCTCTGCATCATGCTGCACAGACTTCAGGAGGGGCTTGGGCGCGCCCGGGTACACACGAATATCAGGCCTCGCGCCGAACGCCAACAAACACCTTGCAGCGTTGATGGCGGTCAGATCGCTCGGGGCATTTCCGTGAGTCTGGAAAAATTCGAATTATCAGCATCTAAACCTCGAACGATGACTATCCGAACAAACGTACCGTAGAGATCCCTAGTAATTCAATTTGAGGACTCTGAAGGGCGAGGAGGATGGCAATTGCATCATCGTGACCCTTTCAGGGGTAATTGAGTAATCGTGGTAACGGCGGGTGAATTTGAGGGGGGGACCGGAACTCACCGGATCGACGTCGAGCCATACTTTCTTCCTGTAATTGACCATTGTCCTGGTAGCTGGTTGTACTAGTAGGAGAGAGTGGGGGGTTCAGTTGAACCTGAGGCTAAAGCCCAAGCTTTATCTATAGTTTTCGCGTTCGCAGCACGTGCTAGATTTAGGGCAGGCTCAAAGGTTGATAACATTTATCGGATTTGTCCTATATTTGTCGTCCGGACAGGCGCGCCCAAGTTGGATTATCTGGGGAAGAGTCGAATCTTTAGAAAGCACAGTACCGAAGAGAAGTAACTTCGCGAGGAAGACATAGCATGATGGAAAGCTAAGATAGTCGGTTCTGAAAGATTGATCATGTAGGGGGGAGGATTGGTTATCAAAACACGAGCCCGTGCCATCAAAAACCGCCAAGGTATCAGAAGAAACGATTTTATTGTTGAACAGTAAACGAAGTCCAATTTGTTAAAAAATAGGGAAAAATATGCTAATGATGCAGAGCGTCTCTTAATACCTCTGTCGTGTATGTAGTTCTCCCTCCATCTCATGAATAATCCTTGAACCCTGTCTCTCGACTAGGTACGACCGTCCAATAGCCATTTGGAAGCGCCACGGCACATAGCGCTATCAAGGTTATGACTCGTGTCGTGGAATGAGGCTCAAGCTGCTAGCTAGTCGATGCGAAAACGTAACACGATTAGTGGATATTGTCCGACTAACTACTGCGATAGAAGCAGCTCAGATAGAAGACGTACTGAAAGATTTCAGCGCCAAAAGATCAGCTGGGTACCTTTGCTCTGACTAGAAGTGTTATCCGTATCGATTACATCTTGAGGTGACGCGATCGAAGTACGCCGTGGTATTGAACCTGGTCCAATGACATAGGAAGCAGATAGTACCGAGAGATTGAAGACATATGACCCAGTTATTGAATCCCTCGAACCCATCGTCAATTTTATGTACCAATCGTACATGAGATCGTGACCCATGTCCCAGGTCACTGGCTAGTGATTCTACCGGAGATTTCTTCAGGTGTAGGACCCTTATATATTAAGGAAGCCAATGGGATCTTAGGCGCCGTTACCTACATAATTGTCTGGATGGTACCTGCTCGGACTCAAAAGGCGCGTCAACAAGGTACACTCATCAGAAGGTTGCGTGAATATCAGGGTTCCTGCTATTGGTGGAGTAGACTAGAGCCACCGCACCTTTAAATAAAAAGTGTATAAATATATTTAAGCTTCCAATAACTCAGCTATGTACACCTTTCGAAGCGTTATCGGTATCGATTATATTTTGAGATGACTATCGAAGTCCAACGTAACAGATATTTCGACAACGAGTCGTAGTCTTTCTGCCGCTGCAGAAACACTAGCTCTTGAGTCTAGCCAAGGTCTACGAGTTTGTTGTGGACACTTGTTGTACAATAATTAGCATCGAGGAGGGGGCTAAAAGACACAGAACTCACGTCTGGCTGATCTTTAGGATCTGCTGGTCAATGGTGTAACATTTGGTCCAAACAAGACATTCTCTGCGCGCTAGTTTATAACACGATGAACACAACGTTCGCTATCCTTGAACAAATTGGAATACACCTTACTTGTTCTATGTCTCTTGCCATCGCCGACTGTCGTGATTTGAATAATTCTTTCTCTTGCGGATTGTCGATAAACTCGAACTGATTAGCAAGGTCATGAAAAATCCTGCCGAAGAATATGTTTGCGTCTGGTGGCTCTAGTGCAAGTCAGCCTAAGTTTCGTGGGGACTATCGGGAGCTTACTTTTGTCGATCTGCAACGGAAGCATACCGGCCAGCATGACGCTCACCAGCATATCCTTCCATTTGTGTCAAGGTGCATCCACATCCATGATTCAATGCGAGATGGTTATGACACTGCGTGGTGGTCAGAAGTCGAGCATCACTACGACTTATGTACGTACTGTTTGTGCCAACATCTGTTACACAAACGCTTTCGAAAGCACCACTCGATAATATAGACTACTCGCGCAAACAACTAACGGTGAATTGAGCGTTCGAATCATGGAGCAAACGAGGAAGATATACGTGGCACTGTGGATTAAAAACTAGGTTCACCCAAGCCGGTTCGGTCATGCCAGGAAATGGATCCGGCAAATCGAGAACATTGGCGAGGGATGCTCCCCAACAGGAGAGCGATGAAGGGTGCATAATGAGTCTTCTGAAATTCCGGGTTGATCGCGCCAGGCGGAGAATGTCATAGGGAAGCAAATGTCCGAATATCTAGAGAACAGGTTAGCATAAGGGTCCTAATCAAAAAAAGCTCAATGGCACACCTCCAGTAAATATCTGGTGACATATCAATCAAGCCTTTTAGCGCTCCTTTTCTCCCTCCTCGAATGACCTTCTGGCGAGCACCGTGGTCGCCGCCCTGGTCTCGCGTCGTTTATTCGGGGCAGAACGCGTCGACATCGTAATTAATTCTTACAAGATGCCATGTAATATTTACGAATGGCTTGTGTAGGATGCCAACGTACCACAAGTGAAGACGCACCTCGCGTCGAACGTGATGGTAGGAGAAGAATAATTTCCGATTACGGCAGGACCCGACGCGAAAGCCGACGGACGGCCGAGCAGTAAGTACCGTAAATCACAATAAAACCAAAATAAATCATTCATTTTTCAATATTTGCTCTAAATTGCACCTGGAAGGCCCATGCATGCTGTATATCCTCTAAGTCTGCTTTAAATAAATTTACCTGTAGCTTTATTAACAAAAGACCAAAAGAACTGGAAGGGTTCATGAGATATATTTCATCCTCAGAAACAGTTAGCAGTCGTGATTGCCAACTAGCTCGCATTTGGTAGGAGTCACAAAGAGATGGCAGTGACACAAAAGATGTTTGGAGTAGCTATAAACCGTGCCGATGTTGATCCCGTCGAGACGACGTGTAGATGTCTGGTAAACCAGTAATTCTGCAGAGTTGTGTCAACGACTGAGAACAAGGGATGCAAAAGACTCACTGTGGCAAATACACATTTCCCGGCATATTTCAGCCGTTCTCCCGTGCGCAGAAGGCTCCTTTGCGTCGGAGCGATGATTTCTCCTTCCGCCGTCGACATAAAGAAGGTTAAGCTAAGTCCACGAAATCTCGTCTCAAGAAATCATTGACAAGTTGTCGTTCCTTGACGCTATCAACCAGAATATGAACGATATACGTGGCATTCTTGTACGAGCTAGGGTTGGCAGCAAGATTAAGACCATAGCTTGAGGACCCACCCACCTTGCTGGCCTCCCAATTTTTGGTCTGAACGGCACCAATTGTAGTCATGTCAAAATCAGGCGTGGCAGCAGAGCCTGACAACCCGGGTTCTCAACACCAAGAATAGACATACTTGATACATATACTTACCGTTATTGATTGCGATTTGCCGACCTTATGCGAACGCGTTTTTATAAAATTCGGCAATGAGTTCAAGGGACCCGTTTAGACCTCTGATGTCACACCACTACACCATACAGTCATTTAGGTAGTGAATAATAGGTACCCCGGTACATATATGGTCTCTCCTTCTTGGCGGTGTCAAGAAGTTCGGCAATGAGATATGGTACTGACTGTGACCAGAACAAAGTATTTAGGGTAAAGCCACGAGGTACCGCTATATGACGGTATAATACTTACGGTCCCGTAAGTTACTAAATGATGGCTCCGCATTGGGTGATTCCCTCTGGGATCAGTCTGGAGGAACCAGCTGGTTTATCTTCCAGCGATGGTAAGGGTTGTAGAGGAACTTGGCTTACCCGTATGATTCTGCATAATTAGATAGTAATTAGATAGAGTAGCCTAACGTTTCAAATTAACATAAACACCACCACTCCTTGAATGTACTCCTACCAAAGCAGGAGCACTGTGGATATTACAGTGAATGCTACCCACTATTCATTAGCCAATATCTTGAAATGAATGTCGCAGAATCACAAGATAGCATACTTAGCTCAGTTCCACTGCTTTAGGTTCAGTGTCATGTAGCACCAGATACTCCTCGCCCACGTCGGGGTTTCATGCGTGAACATGTGTATCTGCAGTCCAGTGCTCGACCAATGGTATTGACGGCCAGCCCGAAGATACACCAATCATACGAGCATGGGAGTCTCTAATGTTAATGTTTCGCGGATCCACCGTCCTGTGCACCCAATATAAAGACGTTCACAGAAACAATCCCTGGGGACCAGTCGATGGACGACGCCAGAATAGAGCGTTTTGAGACTAGAACCGCTAACACATATGTAGTGCCTGGCTTTGAGGGATGTCCCTGTGGTCCGCAGAAAAAAAAAGTTGCTCGTCGGATAGATAATGTCAGTTTTACATCCACCACATCAGGAGAAGGAACTATTGATGGAGAGATGGACATGGCGAGCAGATGCAATCTGTATGCTGTGTTAATCGATGGCAGGGTAATACTTTGAAGAGCGTGCTCCGATGAGACCGGGCTTGACCTTTGAAAAATGTGGCTTGAACTTCGGTTCTTTTCTATACCTTTTTGGAAATAATATGGCCCGCCAAAACTGTTTGATCTCTGGGTCATCGCCAACAATATAGAGCATGGACTGAAGGTTTCAAAAGATACAGCGCGTAAGAATACATAACATCCGTGCTGTACTTATTGAGTTGTCTGTAAATGTAAGAAAGAAGTTGCGCCCTTGCCCACGAATTCGAGTTCCAGGGAAATATCGCGAGATTGATCAAGGAACTGAGATAATGAGTATTCACCACCCGCGTAAACCAAATGCAGTTCTTATGTGAAAGTCGGTTCTGAAAGATTGATCACTTGATTGTCCGTGATGAGACTGTCATTACTTGAGCCCCAGGAGCCTGGCAGATCATACGAGAAGAGAATGAATCTCTAGACGTCGGTCGGGGCTCAAAGACCTACGATTTCGCCGTACTGGCCTGGGGGGGGGATTGGTAATCAAAACACGAGCCCCTGCCATCAAACACCGCCAAGTATCAGAAGAAACGATTTTATTGTTGAACAGCAAACGAAGCTCAACGGGTAGCTCGGAAGAGTCAAAACTTTAGAAAACACAGTACCGAAGAGAAGTAACATCGCGAAGAAGACATAGCATGATGCCAAGCTGGGATAATAGATCCGTTTATAAAGGACAACGCCAGGGAACCTAACACATTATTCACATCCTTGTGCTTTGAGACGTTCAGGTGAGCTATTGATCATCTTCCTTAGATTCGAAGTCGATGTGACACGGTTCCGTTATGGCTTGGAAGTTGGTGTTGATCCAAGCTAAGTAGAAGGAGAATGGGTATTCATCGTTCCTAGCTGCGAGCCTCAGCTTTTTGGATCACTTGCAGCTCCTTGAAGTTCAAATAAATAGCCCATCTAGATATTTTGGGGCGGATAAGAGGAAGCATAAGGAACCGAATCGTCGTTTTCTTGCTGGCATCGTGGGAAAACATTATTCCCCGTGCCCTTCCTTGTTGAGACGCGTTCACGGCCCGAACGTTTGCATCTCTTTCTTTCGACCAGCCTCCAGGACATTGGCAACGAGCAATACGATAACCAAGACCGACGCTAATGCTGTACTTAACCTTAGGCTCCGCTGCGTTTGATGCAACTTTGATTATGTCTCAGCCACGCCTGTATTGCCACACGGACATCGCCTTTCCTAGGTGTTGCATTTGGGCAACATTTGGGTATGAAGACTCCGAAGCACAAAGATGCAAGCGATGTTCTACAAATGTGGAAAACAGATTGGTCCCAAAGATTGAACTGAATGGAAACCAGTGATCATAGAGAGGAACTGAAACATGGGAACGAGATTAAATGATAAACACCGGGGTTAACCGTAGTCTTGGGACGAACCTGTGCCGTATACAAAACGCATAGTCCAGTGATGAATGCCCCTTTCTTTGCTTTCAAGCTACAGTTGCATTCCATGTGCGTCGTTTCCATCGCATCGTTGGAACGTTAACGCTTACAGACTAGTTCTTTAAATTCAGAGATTATCAATGCCAACCGTGCGCGTTAGCCCCCGGGAAACTGAAAAATCGGATCTGTCGCTTCCACACGCGACGGGGGTTGCCCTCGTGTGCGGCATACTCGGAGGGGCTGCTGGCCTCTTCTTCCTTGCCTTGATTATTTGCTGTATCATGAAGCGTCGGCGAACACAGAAACATCGGTACAAACATAAACCGCGTTCCGTTGAACCCTTCCCTTATCAAACTACACCATTCGATATCCCGGAATCGAGTGGCCTCGCGCCCCTTCTTCACAGCGAATCTCATCCTTACTCGCGTGACTCTCTTAACTCGATTGTCCGAGTAACATTTCACACATTGAGCGTTGGGATTCCCCAGCTGTTCTCCCTTCATCAGTTGACGGAACATCGAAATCCCCGTCTGTATCTAAATATTAATTCAGAAGCTTCGTATATCCTGCAGTTCGCAACTCAGAGGATCCTTCCAAGTCAATATTACACACTTTTCTCTGTTGTCCGCATATTGGGTAGTCATCATATTCAGGAACATGTCGTTATCGCTATCGCTCTATCACTATTCGTTACACCCTCGGATAAAAAGATCCTCCAATCACAGATCAATAAGAAGACGGATGCTTCAAGAGCGTCTAGAAAGACTTCTGATCAGCCAGCACCATAGTCATAGGGCGCGAGCCACTTACACCACCATCGATCAATACAGTTTCTCCGGTGACATACCAATTCGCGAGCAAGAAGAGCGCGAGTGATCCAACGTCGCGCGGTTTACCCCATCCTTGTTCGACGGGAACCTCAAAGTCTATTTTAGTATCCGGCGGAACAACCACGACTCCGGACTCGTCAATTGGAGCACCGGGAAAAGACATCTAAAGACAATCAGTGGAAGTACAGCAGTCATCGGGAAGTAATAAATCCGTACCGCACTAGGGAAAAGGCCTGGAGAACAGATTTAATATTACAGAACGAGCGATGGGACACAAAGAAACTTGCCTGGTGCAATTCCATTGACTCTGATACCCAGCGGCAGCAGTTCATGAGCGACAGAGGAAGTAGCGTGCCCAATGGCACTTTTTGAGAACATATATGGATATGAGAATCCAGCGGTTGACGAGTCCTGTGTATCAAACGATGAGGATGGAATCGGTAACTGAAACAAAGGAACAACCTTCGTCCATCCATTCATACTACTAGTCATGATGATTTGCGGCCCGAACTTCTTGGTTGCCGGATCATCCGACAATTTCCATTTTTCAAGCAACGGCAAGAAGGCGAACGTCAGCCAGTATGGTCCGACAGCGTTCGTATTGAGGGTATCATTGAAAGATTCTTGAGTGATATCATCGAAGAAACTCGAGACATACGCAGATGCCGTGGAAGCTGTTGGACGCTTAAAGCTGCCTTTAAGGATGCCAGCATTGTTGAAGAGGGCTGTAACATGGCGTTCTCGCTTCCCAACTTCATCAGCCAGACGTTTGGCTTCTGACTAAGTCAGAGTCAGCAAACGTTTCAATCAAAACTTGCTTAACACACACACATACCTTTAAACGGATGTCTCCCTCAATTCCATACATTGTGCCGGCACCGGGGATGTTAGCAGCAGCGGCATTGAACTTGTCGCAAGTTCTACAAACATTACTTCGGTGCTGAACCATCTGCACAGAGATGACTTACTGGTCGAGATCGGCCTGTGATGGTCCGACAATATACACAGTGGCACCGTTCGCGATCAGCGTTGAGCTAATCATTAGCCCAATTCCCTGCAGCACGACAAAGCATGAGCGGATATACTCGAAGATTAACAGAACGACTCACGGAGCCTCCACCAGTGATAACTACGACTGTACCGCGAAGGTCGAAGAGGTTGACTGCACGAAGATTATCTAGAGAGAGAGTCGACATGGTGGGCAGTGGGAACAGAACACAGTAAGGAATCAGTCTTTTATATCCAGCGGGGGTGTTGACGTTATTTGGCGGCTAGGCTTGCGCGTCGTCAGCCGGTATTGACTCAGCGCTTCTACATGTACCACGGGGCCGCTGACACAGTGTTCGCTCGTCTGTCACTGGGATGACTGATCATGCGATATTACTGTCGTTAGATGTTTTCCGACCATCGCAAAAGTACTGTGAAGCGACACGCCAGATAGATAGTTGAGCCATGTTCGAAAAGGCTGGTGAGTATCGTGTGTTTACTCAGAGATCGACGTTCAGCTCCCAGCCACCGTCTGTGTGCGACAGCATTCATTACCTTCTGTACACATTATCCGTCTCTTCGGCTGGCCAGTACGTAATGCTTCGTATTGGAAACACCCAGCAGTCCATGTAAGCAGTCGACATCTCTTCTAGAAAAGCAAAAGGCCCTATTTCAATGGGCGAGGTAGAGAAGCTACGTAGAGATGGCATAAGTCTCAGTTCTCTCTTCTTAAAGTAAACATGCTTCAAAACTCACCAGAACAATCCGTCAGCTCTACTGACGTTCCATATGTCCCGCAGAATCCACGGAATCCGTCCAAGTCGGCTCTCTAGGCTTCCACACCGGGACGATGACGGCTTCCAGATGGAGACGGTTGCGGACATCGAAGTGCATTCTTCTTCGTATCTTTTACCCGCCGGACCTTGGTGACGTCCGGGACCTGTGTCTACGAAACATACAATGGGCAGTAACATTAGAGCAGGCTCTCCGTAGGCTCACCATCAAGGATGGATGTGATGGGGGTGACTGAAATCCTGAGATGTACGTGATGCTAAAGCGGCGGATGTTGTTGACTGGGTAGAGTAACATTTGGTGAATACTTTAGTTGCTAACAACACCCTTATATGCTTCTTTCAGTGTCTGTACTCTGGGCAGTAGAAAAAGGAACATTGATACTACGAATTTTTGCACATTTGGCACTACACAGGACACTGACCCAATCCCTGAACAAAGACTTTCATGTGGGATTTATTAGGTTCCGCGTTTGCCTTGCGTCTGGAGAGGAGCAAGGGTTGACTGCCTCGCAAAAGAATGCGAATGACTTCAACACCCGTGTGGCAGCGCACAAGTTTATTTGCCGGAGGAAGACTGGTGTCGTTATTTAATCGACCTTGATTGCTTCTCCGTCCTATATTGTCCTATATTGGTGGGGACATGGCCCGTGGAATTGAATGTCCTGTCTTGCCTACTAAAATCAGTTGCCCTGCAGTAATAATAGAGGCGAGCTCACCAAGACCTCCACCGCGGTGATCCTGTCTGAGTCTTCATTCTTAGGGTATAGGCTTTTCATAGTGCACTTCTAGCACAGTATTGACGGCTGCACACAAAGCGGCACGGCGCGGTCTCGTGGCCACCCAGTCACGAAGGAACGGTCAACGCCCGATCACGTGCCACGGTCTGATCCTTCTGAGCATGACAATGCTTGCTTCCTTGATTTTCTGCTACAGTCAAAGCTCTCTTAACCCATAATGATCATAAAGCCTCTGTGGAGAGATGCCATTATAGGTCAAATCTGGAGGCTCCCAAAATGTTTGTATATTGTTTCTAAGCTTGTAATATACTACAGCAGTCATTCATGGGTAAAGGAATCAGTAATTTCAGTCTCCTTTAGTGCATTAGTCTCTTCAAGTCTAGTCTTGCACCCAAAAGAAGCCAAAACAGCCTCCAATTGTCAGCAAATGGGTAATATATGCTGTCAACAAATTTTTAGATAGTTATGACAACTTGCATTGTATTATAATGAGTAGGGTGAGGATCCAACAATGATCATGATCAGCATCAGCATCTTCTCCATTCATATCCATAAGTTTTCTGGCAGTATGTGATTGTTGGTGATCATATGACTTGGATTCTAATAATGATTTTTCTTTGATAGCAGTAACAGCATAACTATCCAGCCACTATTTATGATATGGTGGGTTGTTTCTGTCAGTGTATGGGTTAGCAGAGCAGAATTTCTCACTGAAAGATATGGGCTACAGAACCCATTTACCTGTGAACAGGGTTGGTGGATCCCAAAATCTATGGTATCAAGATTTATGGATTAGGAGAGTTTCAACTGTACTGGCACAATATTTGCTGAGACACTATGTTATAGTACAGTATTCAAATCATACCTACATTTCATTATTTCCATATGTCATATCCAATGATTCCAAACTGTTCAACATCTTATATCTGCAATGCACCAATACAGATATTCAACCACTCTTTGAATATCTCAGCATACAAATCTATATTCTCCTGTGAGAGCTATTTTTTTTCTAAAGACCACAAAAAGTTAATCTGACCAGTGTATTGCCAGCATATAGAGATGATGAGCAGATGAGTGATCTAGATAGTGTGATATTGTCCTAAGATGACTAATTCATCAGTGAGTGTGCCTGTCTCAGAGACAAATGGATTAAGGATATCCATAGTATAATAGTCACTGATAGAAGATATCATAGGTATCTGCATGTGGAATGTCATATTGTCATGTAGGCTCTCATTGAGTGTGAATTGCTGGTCTATCTTCTGCTAGAAGACTGCAGTTCAGTCAGACTAATAGACAATAAGAAAAGAGAGGAGAAATGAATAGCAGTTATCTGCTGAAGTGCTCTGTATAATAGAGTTGCTCATCTTGATGATGCTATTCCAGAGAATCTCATCAGTATTCTAGTCTTTGCTCTGATTTCTGCATCCTAATATTAATGCTATCAGCATTCATTGGAGGCTGTATAGTGTTCTAGTATTCACATCTCTCTCCTCCTATGCAGAGTGGTATGAGTGAGACTCTTTTTTATGATGATCATCTGCTGATACTCATTAATTCATGTATATAGTTGGTATTTGCACAAGGACTCTGGTCTCAGCAACTCCATATGAGTGTATCATTTGGACAAATATAAAGAAGTAGATCTGACTTGTGGTTTTACTCACAGAGGATTTTAGTAACTTCTGTGGTAGAATATCATTTATGATGATTTTATAGTCAACTTTACTGTATCAAAATTTAATGCCAGTGAATGGCTTGATATTATAGATGACACTAGTGCTAAATACTTTGTCTTAGTTACTATATGAATTCTGTATCATTGATGCTCTAGTGCAGATTCATACTAAGGTTTGTTATTAGAAATATCATGATGGCTTTGCTTTATGAGATATATCTACAATAAACTAGACATTAGTTGCACTTGGGCCCAAACATGACTTGGTGAGAGAATTGCTCAAAATATCAAAGATGGAGAAGCCTCATCTCCATCAAGAAATGTACCTTTCTTTGCTGGAGTGGTAAATTGCATTATATTTATTTATATTTTATCTTAAAACTGACACTTAGGTTCAATCTGGACTATGCAAAGTACAGTTTTAACATGTGGCTCAGAGGGCTTGCTCACAATGCATTTAATTCATCTAAACTTGAGCTGTACATTGGGTGTTTAGGGATTAATGACTATCTTGTTGATTTGCAGCTGCTTCAAATGTTAAAATTGATAACAATATATGAGTCTGAGATCATAGTGAGAGGGCCTCTTTTATTACTTTAGAGAAGAGGTATCTGATCTCTTGAATAGTGGTGTGACATTGGTGGGCCCAACAAAGTGCTAGAATTTGCCTCAGAGTTCTATAACAATGCACCAGCTAATGACTGGTGAGTAACTATGAACAACTGTGAGTTCTATTCTATAGTCTTGACTGGTTAGTGCTAATCACATGTCTGACAGAATGCAGAGCTGTACCAGATTTTGAGACATAAGAGTACTTGACATTCAGTGCAACCCAGCTATGAGCATGGAAGAGCAGTGAAGAGATGGATCTATTCAGTTATGGATTGAACCTGCAGACCAATGATAGATAATACAAGAATGTGACAACAATCATACATTTGCTCATGGATATCATCTCAAAAAACAGAAACTAGTATAGAAGATCTGTGTCATAGAGATGTGATATAAAAACTGACTTTGCATCTGCAGCCTCTGTTGGAATCTGTGAGAGAGTACAAGCAATCTGACAATCTGGCATGCTGAGTAAGAAAAGAATCTGAGAGAAATTGAAGGAATTAGATAGAAACTACTAGAAAAGGAGTAGTCTAGTATAAATATGAGAAGTCAATGGAGAAACTCCTTAGGAGTTTGTAACCCAAAGACTAAAAGTCTTAAAAGCATGTGCTCTGAATACAGTCCAAATCTCAACAGCCTCCTTGATATCAATCCTACTACAGAAGAGGTTATCATTTTGATTATAGAAACTAATCTTTTAGATACCAGATGTTGGCTTAAATATTCTGGCTGATGTATTTATAATATCATAGGTATTTTATGCTCTAACTAAATGCTGTCAGGCATTTTATGTTCTTGTCTCCACAAAAATATTAGTTCCAAGATTTTCAAGACATGGATTCAACTTCTAATGTGCAATTCTTCATTATGCCTGCTATGTTCTGCATTGTAGTTCTCTCTGAGCCAGAGGATTAGAAGATTATCATTGACAAATGTCTTTCATTGCTCTCTGAGGATGAGATATGTTAGAATAGCAATCTTAAGTGAGTATGAGAATGTACTTAAAGATATTACATCAATCAGCAGCAGCTGATTTGGATCATGATTAGAACTTATATAGTAATTTGTTGAAAGCTCTCAAAGTAGTATAAGATGTATATAAGTACAATGTCTCTCTCTCAAGAGGCTGATTAATTCCTTGTACATTACTCTCCTCTGTACTTTCAACAGGTTATAGGCTCTGGCCATCACTGAACTACTTATATTATCATATACTTCACACACTCTCATATTTTATATACATATGTAGAACCACATGGATAGCCAGTCTATGTACAGAATTAACCTCCTTAAGAGTCTGAAAAATTATCTGACTTGGAAAATCAAGATGAGACTCTAGGACATGAAGTTATTGGAGTAGGCAAATCCAAGAGCTTGGAAAGAAAAACTATTAAGATTAAAATGATTGAAGAAGACAAGATCACTCTAATCACACTAAAAGAGTATATCCACTATCCTGATGCACTATTCAATCTTATCTTGCTAGAGCATATCACAGATGTCAGGTTTAAACTTAAATTCAAAGAGTTCTGAATAGATATTATCTCATCACATGGCAAGACAGTTAGTCATAGAGATAAGATATCAAAGCTGTATAGCCTTGACATTATTGCCTCAGAAATAATCCAGGCCTATACTATGAAACCAGTCTGATTATAGCTAAAGTGATATAAAATATTGGGTTATTTACATATAGAATCAGTAAAGAGACTGTTTAGGAAGAAAATGATCAAGAGAATGAATGTAGATGAGTCAGCTGAGCCTCAGACAGATTGAAAAGCCTGCATAAAGGCCAAGCATCATATCAAGCCATTTTCATATAAAGCTGAAAGAGATCACACTGAAATAGGTGAAATGACATTTTCAGATCTGTAGAGACTATTAAGCTCAAGCAACACATGATCTAAACATGTGATAAATAGATGCTGTATTGAGTTTGTATAGTTATGCTTAAGTTCACTACATGTGTTTGTGTGGTGTTATATCTCAAGGCCAATTACAGATCAGCTTCAGATAGAATAGTGAAAATAAACTTTAACTTGAAGCTGAGGATATACAGCAAGAGCTACACTACTTATATACTGTTTGGAGTTGAGTTAAATATATCTCTACTTATTATGTGTTTCTATGCTATAGTATTCACTGCCCTTGTTCATCACTACCAGTACAAAAGAATATTATCATGTTGTCAAGGGAGTTAGTGGATGTTATGATTTTTCTATCTTTTCCTTGACTTAACCCTTATTTATGCTTAGTCAGAGTGCTAGGACAGATGCTTAAGACTGTGAGACAGGCTTAATCATCACAATAAGCCAAGTTCATCTTTGTCTTTCAATGTGACAACAGTGCCCAATAATGCACAATCATCCTTTTGTATACAGTAGCAATGCCCTAGGACAATGGGCACAATGGACCCAGCAATATACAATAGATAGTAGTAGTATTAGCAGATTCTGTATAGTATTTAAGACCACTTGCTCTCACTGGTAATCCCCAGCTTCAAGCTAAAGTTTATTATCACACCAACTCTCTCTTAAGCCAATCCTAAGGCCTTGATGCATTATGACTAGAAATCACAATCAGTGAACTCTGATATTCCACTTGAAGTGCAAAGTGACATCAGTTTATCATATGTTTATAGTCACATGCAACTTGGATCTAACAATTAGCTTGAAGCTTTCTTTTTCCTTTCCTCATGTACTATAGTGTGAAGGAAACTGAATGCCCTCTATCAACACATCAGACCCAAACTTTGACTGAGAGTTCTTCAAACTCCTTACATCAATCATTAGAACACTGTTAGGATTGTTGGTGATCATCCAGCTGTATCAGGAATGTCATTCAATTACTGCTTGGGCCATCAGACATTACAACAAGTTTCAACACATACAACATATCCTTTGAAATGTAACCCTAGATCTTCCCCTACATGACATCTCCAAATCCTGATGAACATCCCACCAGCCTCCAACAAGCCCCTTATCCAAAGCCAGGCCTAGCCATCTGTATCAAGAGGATGTTTAAGAAGAAGAAAGATATTGATACTCTTTCAGAAGAACTAGCCAAGACTGCAACTCTCACATCACAGGATTCAGGAATCCTTGGGTCTTAACCCCTGTTCCTGACCAAGAAATCATTTAGGAGAATAGCTGATGACCCTTCTCCAACCCTTTCAGTGCTTCACACACTCATGGGATTGCTGACCATGCTCAAGATTCCCTCAATGCCACTCAGATGGCTTCAGGATCCTGCAGCATGACATCTCAAAGCCAGTCTCAGAGCACCTCCAGCTTGACCCACAACTCTATCAGAACAAGCAGTGGGATGGAGCAGGCCCTCTCAGACTGACTCAATGATGAGTGACAATTTAGAGAAAACAGAAATGAAATCATTCACTGGCTATTCTCCATCTGGAACCTTAACATTCTATTTAATTATGATGAGGCCCTCTGGCAGGAGGAGCAAAGACAGTGAAACACTCTGCAGCCAGTTTGTAGTGAGCTTGAGGGGTGCATCATTGACAGAAGGAGGCAGGCAGTTGAAGCCACTGAGTATGATCAGCAGCATTGGAAGCAGCAGCAGAACATCGAAAGAGCTCAATTGGAGAGGGCTAATGTCTCCAACTGGTATAGACTCTGGTCTGAGGTCACATCCATACTTGCACCAGTCTGTGCTGACCAATCTCTCTTGACTTCAGTCTTTAGAGAGCCTAGTACTACAGACTCCAATCCCTGGGACCAAGTGCACTAGAGAAACATAGAGGTTCTCACAGTCAATGAGGCTCAAGCAAGGAATGACAGAATCCCTCCTCCTGCTCAGGATGATGTTTCAGGATCTTCCAAATGCTTCCTGACCCCTCAATATTCCTCTCTCCAGCAAACCCCCAGTGCCAGCACAGCATTTGGAGATGACAAGTCCATCCTGAGACACTATGGGTTATGAGCATCTGATAATGCTCATATCCCCACTCATGCCCTCTAAGGGTTTCTCAGGAGCTGAGTGGTCAAGCAGCTCCTTGATGATGGATACTAACAGAACATCCACCTCTATTATGAGCAAATGGAGGTGGCATGAGTGTGAGAGAAAAACTGATATGATTCTGACATTAGAAGTCAATCTGCCACCATCTATATCAATGCATCAGACTTTTTAGGCCCCACTACTGGGCCTAGTATCCAGTCAGAGCAGCAGGTCAACAATGACAGTACAACTGCTAGGAGGAGAGGAGACTTTCTATGACCTGCCTGCCACTTTCCCCTCAGAGGAAGAGGAGGATGAGCCTAAAGAGGATGAAGAAACTAAAAGCAGCAACCTGCCACATGCCAGCAGAGAACTCACCTATGGCCTCATAGAGGACATGGGTGAAGAAGCATTGGAAGAGGAGATTCAGAAGGTGAGGACCCAGGAGTATCAGAAGACATATGAAAGAGGGGTAAATTTTCTATAGCATAATACTAACTGATTAGCATTGCACATGGGACAATTATATCTTTAATCCAAATCTAATAAATATATAGAAATATTGAGACATATGACAACAGACTATGCTGTCCAACAGTACAACAAGAACTATCCTGAGGATCTGGTTAGCATGCCCTCAGAATATCAGCTGCTATCCTCGATCCAACCAATGCCATAGTCATCTCTGGTCACCTCAAAGTGAGCCATGTACATGGCCCTGTCCATCTGAAGCATGTTTTCATATTCTGTCTCTTTCTCTCAGTCTATGGCAACTTGGCTATTCTGAATCTGACTCCAGCTGACAAAGCCACCAAGCTTCTATTGAAGCTTCTGGACTGGCAAGAAAAGCTGAATCCTAGAGGCCCAGCCTCTGTCTGATGAGGCAACCAGAAGTGGAGCAGAGAAGAAACTGGCTCAGAACAACCCTAAAGCCATCTGACTAGGATTCACAGTATGAGATAGCATCATTGTCTGAAAAGAAGTAGTGCTGCAAGAGAGTCCCATTGCAGAAAACAACTCCCTCCATTCATTCTCTGGGCCTCCACAGAAGTGGAATCACCCTTCTTTTTCTGAATGGCCCAATCTAATGGGTATGTTGCCCAACAATGCAGCAGTCCTACAATGCAAACCTGATCTACTATGCAAATCCCAACCATTCAAGGGAGCCTCCAATGATATTGACTGATTTCTGGTCGACTGTAAGCAGTACTTTGAGGTCTATATCAGATACCTC